CCTCCGTTCGGAAGGGGCCGGCTGTGTGACTACCCTCGTGGCTATTGGCATGCCCTGCCGGAGGCCCCTGGCTGGAGCTTGAACTAGCTTACCCATCTCTGGTCTCCAGGGCCCCCGACCACCTGGTCCTTCCTGTTCTCATCCTGAGTCAGTGACTCAGGGCTCTCGGCCCCCGCCGCAGCCTGGAACGCTGAGCTGGGTGCATACCTCCCCGGGGGATTGGTCCATATTCAGCAGCTCCCTGTCTGTGGAGGGGGATGGCAGCGTCCCCAGAGGCAGGCATTGGATCCGGGCCCTAACTCGGCTGTCTGGGGTTTTGTGCCTTCCCTGTGGGAGCTTTTCTTTCCAGGGGAGGGAACAAAAGGCCTCGAGAGGATGCTGTTTTGCTCAAGGTCACACAGCCAGCCGGGAGCTGCTGATGCTCGGGAGGAAATTGCAGGATTCCTGCCACCGAATCCCGACTTCTTTCTGCCTGGTACCCTCCCCCAGCCCTGAACCTTTCTGTGGTTGGAGGCACCCGTCCTTGCTGCCTTCCCCAACCCCCGAGCCCACAGCAGATGTGAGCTGGCTCAGGGTACCACGGCTCCCGAGCTGTCTGGGTGGAGCTTCAGGACCCGCTGGCTGCCGCCAGGTGACGTGCAGAGCCCACCCGGCCGGCCACAGCTTGAGGATGCTCCAGCACCCAGCACCCCAGCAGGTGGAGGAACTGGTTTGGGCCGTTTCCCCACCCATCTCCCCGCACGCCGGGGGCCCAACCCCTGCTCAGCCCACAGGCTACCTGGCTCTGGCTGGGCCTGAGTGCGCAGGGCTTTGCAGGAGAAACGCTGCCTCCGTCTTCCCTGCCCTCGGAGGACAGAGCTTTCCGGGATCCTGCCAGTGGGGAGGGGAAGGGGGAGACATAGGCGGGGTAACTGGACCCCCAGAGTCACAGCCCAGTGAGGACGACCCCAGTCCCACAGAGACAGACCCCAGTTCCAATCTTGCCCCCAGACAAGTCACATCACCTGCCTCTGCTTCCGTTTCCTCATCGGCAAAATGGGTGTGATAGTAAGGTCAACTCCAGAGGACTGGTAAGGGTGGGGCCTGTAGTAGGGGCTCAGAAAAATGTTCTTGGAATCACAGAGGGGCAGATGGAGCAGAGCAGGCAGGCTTTCGTGTCCAGAAAGCCTGTGCTCAAGTCTTTGGCTTCACCACTTGCTTGTTACTCCGGGCAAGTTCAGTCCTCAGCCTCAGTTTCCCTGTCTGTACAATGGGGATGAGAGGAGAGCCAATTTGCATGTGCTGTTAGGAGGATTGACTGAGATGCTGCCTGTGAAGTTCTAATTAGCTGGGCATGTCTTTGGCAGCTGTTGTTACAATTATCATTAATATAATAATAATACTGTTTCCACAGTATCAGCATCATATGCATCCCAGTGTGCTTATTGGATGAGCTTGGATGTGTTTCTTTGAAAAGGGGGAGACTAAAGGGTGATGGAGGCAGGGTCATGGATGAGGTGACCCCTCGGGGAACTTCCTTTCCAGATATTCTGGGTAAAATGTTTGTCTAAGGCCAGGGACTCTGTGTTCTGCCCAACTGGGCCCTTGACAAATGGGGTCGTTGGCCTTGGTGAGGCCGATGTGTGGATGGTAGGCGGGTTCCACGCCACCCCCCCACCCCGCCCCAACTTCCTGCTGCGATGAGTCAGAAGCAGAAAGGCCGAGAGTGTCCAAGCCCCTCTGACCCTGTGGTCACTTGGGGGCATCTGGATTCCCCTCCTCGACTAGGGTTCCGGTGGGGCTCAGGTTGGTCCATGGGCTGGTTTCTCGCCCTTGGATTCACAGCAGGGTGGGCTGGGGTACTGGGGTTGCTGAAGCCCAGAGAAGGCAGGGCCTTGGCCTGTGTCACCCAGCAAGCCGAGGGCAGAGGGCTGTTGACCCCAGGCTCCAGGCAGGGACATGTTATTTATTGCCAGATTGGCCTCTGTCCTCAGTGAGTTTAATTTCTCCACTTTCTCACCCGCGGTATGTCTTTACTCCTCGCTCATAAATGGCACCTGGCATTAACCAAACCACAAAGCCAAAAATACACCCCCCTGGATGTACATATTTTTCACGTGGGTGCTCAGAACTCCCTCAGTCCAGCAGGGTGTGGATGGGGGATGGTAATAATAGCCACCACCATCATACAACTGTTAACACATTGAACACATGCTGTGAACCGTGTGCTCTGCTCAGCACTTAGTAACAATTAACTCATTTCATGCTCCCAGTGATACCCCCTGAGGCAGGGATCTTATTTCTATACTCATTTTACAGATGAAGCAACACAGAGATAAAGTAACTTGCCGAAGGCCAGCAGGGTAGAATTGGGATTTGAACCCAGGCCCCAATATCTGGCACCAGATTAAAAAATAAGTTATTTTAAAATTGTGATGACATACACAAAGTGTAAATTTAGCATCTTAGCCATTTTTAAGTATACAGTTTGGTGTCATTAAATACACTACTGTCTCTACCATCTACCTCCAGAATTCTTTCCATCTTGCAAAACTGAAACTCTGCACCCGTTAAACCTTAGCTCCCCATTCCCAGCTCCCTGCAACCCCTGAAAACTATTATTCTACTTTCTGTCTCTATGAATTTCACTACTCTGGGGACTTTATATGAACTTGTGCAGTATTTGTCCTTGTTTGGCTTATTTCACTGAGCATAGCATTCTCAAGGTTTATGTTGTAGCACGTGTCAGAATTTCCTTCCTTTTTTAAGGCTGTATAATATCCCATTGTATATAAACACCATTCTTTGTTTATCCAGTCATCTGTCGCTGGACACTTGGGTTACTTCCACATTTTAGGTATTGTGAATGAGGCTGCTGTGAACATGGGTGTACGAATATCTCTTTGAAATCCTGCTTTCAATTCTTTTAGGTAGATCCCCAGAAGCTAGAATTGCCAGGTGATATGATAATTGTATTTTTAATCATTTGGGGAGCCACCACACTTTTTCACAACCACTGCACCATATTACATTTCCACCATCTATGCGCGGCCACAGCCCACCAACCCCTGTTGTTTCTGGGTTTGTTTTTAAAACCACTTGTTGTAATTGTGAGCTTTCTCAGGACGAGCCCAGTGCTCCCTCAGGGTGCCGGCCTGGGTTAGCTGCTGCTGCTGCTGTTTAGTCACTCAGTTGTGTCTCAGTCTCTTTGACCCCATGGACTGTAGCCCACCAGGCTCTTCTGTACATGGAATTTCCCAGGCAAGAATACTGGAGGGGTTGCCATTTCCTTCGCCAGGGAATCTTCCTGACCTAGGTATTGAACCCACGTCTCATGCACTAGCAGGCAGATTCTTTGCCACTGAGCCACCTGGGAAGCCAGGGTTAGATGCTGAGGAAACACTAAAGAACTTGCTTCTCACTGACCCAGGGCACATGTGTCGTTTTGGGGAGGAATGTTTAAGGCCTGGATCTAATTCTTCCAGGGTGCTCTCTGGACACCATAATCCCAGTTCCTGGGTCACTGGGTGGGAAGTGCTGGAGGTGAGAAGGACCAGCTAAATACCTGGGACTTGGCTGTTCAAAATGTAAGAAACCCCCAGCCCCAATGACTGGTAGTCCAGTGGTTAAAACCACGCTTCCACTACAGCGGCCGTGGGTTGGATCCCTGGGTGGGGGGAGGGGACTAAGATCAAACAAGAATCCCCCACCCCCATCCCGGGCAGCTTTAAGAAAATGTGGGTGATGGGCCACCATTCGGGTGGTCTGGGACCTAGTGTGGGGCCTGAACGTCCATATTAAAAAAGAAGTCTCCCCTAAGTGGTCCTTATGGGCACCTGGCCCAGGAGACACAGTCGTGTAACATATCACTCTATTCTGGATAGAGCTGAGGAATTTATTACAAAGCTGCTGGAGGTGTCATATGTGTCTGCATCTTCGCTAAAGTGAAGAGTGAGTGAACAGAGATGAATGGATGAGGGCAGAGTTCCCCAGGCTCTATCATCCACACAACCATCTTCATAATTTTTCCTGCATCTATCCAGGCAGACCTCAAAGACATTGCAAGTTCGGTTCTAGATGACTGCAATAAAGCCAATATGACAATAAAGCGGGTCACGTGAATTTTTGGATTCCCAATGCACATACAAGTTATAAACATAACTACTATACTGTAGTCTGTTGAGGGTGCAATAGCATGATGGCTAAAAAAAAAAAAAAAGAGAGAAAGTGTACACACTTTAATTTAAAAAATACTTTAATGATCAAAAACACTGCTCATCATCTGAACCTTCAGTGAATCATCACCTTTCTGCTGGTGGTGGGTTTGAAGTATTGCAAGAGTTACCAGTATGTGACACTGAGATTGGAAGTCAGCAAAAGCTGTTGGAAAAATGGCACCGGTAGACTTGCTCCATACAGGGTAGTCAGAGAACTTCCATTTGTGAAAAACACAGTATCTTTGAAGGGCAATAAAACTATGTATGCATGTATACCTTCTATGTTATTAGTCACTGTGCTTTAAAGTCACCCCACCTAGTTGTGCTCAAACAAATCTACGTATCCTTATTGTAAATTGGAAAAGCCAGTACCTCTGGCCATAAACAGTTTACTTTCAAGATACAAAGGAAACTGGGACTTCCTTTTTTTTTTTTTTCTAACCCTAACCCTAACCCGAAACTGGGACTTCCTTGGCGGTCCAGTGGTTAAGGCTCCATGCTTCCGCTACAAGGGACGCAGGTACCATCCCTGGTTGGGGAAATAGGATTCCACAAGCCTCAGCGGCCAATAAAATAAAGTATATATGTATATAATAATATATAATATGTGTATGTAAGTGTACATATATCGAGAGGATAGGAAGGAAACCAGACCATGTCAGCAGGTACAATCATCCCTTGGTATCTTTGGGGAACTGGTTCTGGACCCATACCCAAATCTGCAGATGCGTAAGCCCCATCTAGGATAGACGGCCTTCCGTATACTGGGGCTTCTTTATTCTCCGATGCAACCAACTGCGCGCGCTAAACACAGTGCCCGATGCGCGGTTGGTGGAGGCCATGCGTGCGGCGGTGGAAGCCGTGGACGCAGACAGCAGACTCGGAAACCACGTTGCAGAAGGCAGACCCCAAAGGCTCCAACGCCCCAGGGGACTTGAGCCCGCGGTTTTGCTCTCTTCTTAAAAAGGGTGACGAACAAGTGTTAGGTAAGTGTTAAGCGCAGGCTAGCACCCCGTGGCTGCGTTCTCCCGCCTGGAACTACTTTTCCTCCGAGAGTCCGCGCCGTTTGCTGTCCGGCCCTTGCAGAGCTGCAGAGTCAGACTTGGAGGGCTTGTGGGAGGAGCCGGGGTGACTGGGGGGGTGATTCCCATGGGCGAGGCCCACCGTCTTGGGTGACCACCACGGGAACTGCCCCGTGGGCACGGGAGTAACCCAACCCCAGGGCGACCCTTGCCCCCACGGGGGTCCCCTCGGGGGATTACAGAGCCTTTTATCTCTGCAATTGAGATAAAAGGTTCATTGAGTGGAGACGGATCCCTGCCAAGGAGGTCAGGCCCCTAATCGGGCGCAGAGCCCGGAGGGCACGGGCCTGGCAGCTGGCAATCAAGAGGGAGAAGAGGCCTGTCCTGCAGGGCCGGAGTCGGTGTGGGGCGGGCGGCAGCTTCGCGCGGGGCTCTTCTGAGCCCAGGTGTAGAGGCCAGCGGTCTGCCTCTCCCCGGAGTGTGGCCCTGGGTGAGCCCCTTGACTTTTCTGAGCTGAGCTCCCCCTGATGCAACTGTCAAATTAATTCATTTGGAAACCCCTTGTGGATGCCTGCTAGCGCAGGGCTCTGAGCTGGTTGCCACAGGGAACCCTGGCAGTCAAGACCCCCTCCTCCCTGGGAGTTTATGGGCAGGGTGGAGGCAGGACATCACAGGAGAGGGGAAGAGGAACAGGCTTTGAAGATAGTCTGGAGGAGAGACTTTAGCTGAGGGGTGGGCTCAGGCTTTCCTGAGGCTGGCATGACAAGTAAGCAACCATCTGTGTTACTGAAAACACAGAAATGTACTCGCATTGTCTGGAATCCAAAATCAAGGTGTCTGCAGGGCCCCACCCTTTCAAAGGCTCTGAGGGGGGCCCTTCCTTTCTTCTTCCAGCTTCTGGTGGCCTCCAGCAATCCTTAGTCTTTCTTTTATTTTTATATTTTTGGCAGCACCGCATGGCTTGTGGGATCTTAGCTTGCAGACCAGGGATTGAACCCCCGGCCCTCAGCAGTGAAAGCACCGAGTCTCAACCCCTGGACCGCCAGGGAGTTCCCCTTTTAGTGTCTCTTGGGTTATGTCTGTGTATCTGCATTTTTTTCCCCCCAGTGAGCATGGCAGTCATCAGATCAGGGCCCACCCTAATCCAGGATGACTTCGTCACGGCATCATGATGTCTGCCAAGACCAAATAAGGTCACATCCCAAGATTCCAGGTGGACTTGAATTTTGGGGGGGGGGGCACTATTCAAGCCACTATGCTGAGGAAGGGCTGTTAAAGCTGAGACCTAAAGAGGTGTGCGTGGTCAGGGTGGGGGTGGAGGGGAGTGGAGGGTGGGGTGGGGGTCCTTCCAGGCAGAGGGAACAGCATGTGCGAAAGCTTTGCGGTGGGAGGGCAGCTGGAGCCGGTGTGACTGGGGCAGGGTGAAAGTGAAAGTGAAGTCTCTCAGTCGTTGGTGACTGTTTGCGACTCCATGGACCGTAGCCCACCAGGCTCCTCTGTCCATGGAATTCTCCAGGCAAGAACACTGGATTTGGTTGCCATTTAAGGCAAGGGCAATAGTGAGAGCTGAGGCCGGAGAGACGGGGGCTGCAGCACAGAGCCAACGGAAGGGGGTGAAGTTCATCCCAAGCGCCTCCGAGTTTACAAGGTACATAACGTGGTTAGATTCCCTTTTTGGGAAAAGGTCATTCTAGTTGATATACAATATTGTGTTAATTTCTGTTGTAGGGCAAAGGGACTCAGTTATATATACACATACTTTTTTTTTTTTAATATTCTTTTCCATTTATGGTTTATCACAGGATGTTGAATATGTGCTTAGTCTTGTCTGACTCTTGGTGACCCCATGGACTGTAGCCCACCAGGCTCCTCTGTCCATGGAATTTTCCAGGCAAGAATACTGGAATGGGTTGCCATTTCTTACTCTAGAGGAATCTCCCCAATACAGGGATTGAACCCACATCTCTTTCATCTCCTGCACTGGCAAGCGGATTCTTCACCGCTGCGCCACCTGGGAAGCCCATTGAACATAGTTCCCTGTAAGGAAAGAAACAAAAGGTCGTTCTAACTATAGACTGGGCAGTGACATGGCAGTGGCCAACAGTGTACATTTTTTTTTTTCTTCAAGGTTTCTTGATGTGGACCATTTTAAAGTCCTTACTGGGATTTGTTACAGCATTGCTTCTGTTGTATGTTTTGTGTTTTTGGCCCTGAGGCATGTGGGATCTTAGTACCCCCACCAGGGATCGAACCTGCTCCCCCTGCACTGGAAGGCAAAATCCTAATCATGGGACCCCCGGGGGCGTGCCTAGTGTATGTGCTTTAAGGTTTACCCCCAAGCACATTTACTTCTGACAAGCGCGTTAATCCTCAGAGCCCTGGAAGGGAGGGCGGGCTGTGCTATTATACTTTGAAGAAATGAAGGCCCAGAGAGGTTAAGCAGTTTTCCCAGGATCACACAGCTAGGAAGAAGAGTACTCAGGACAATCACCAATGTCTTCTGTCCTGCGAATGCTTATTGCCCTTGGCGGTGAAAGTCCCTGGACCTTGAAGGTCCACTTTCGAAGACAGCTGGGATTCTGGGGCAGAGATCATGCCCTGATTTTATCCTCATTTCTGCCTGTGCCGTGTCACTTGCCCAGCCCAGGGAAGCTTTAGCTACGCAGTGGGGATAAGGTAGCCTCAGCAACTTAGTGTGGAGTTAATTCCCTTATATCTGTGAGCTGCTCAGATCCTCCCCTTCAGAGCAGAGCTCCAGAGGAGGAAAAGCAGGCCAAGGGAGGTATGTTGGGAGGTCTGCGATAAAATCTTGGGCCGAAGCCCAAAGGAAACGGCCGGATAGTTAAGACTGTTTCAGAACCTTTGGGCTGGTGTTTCTGTGACATTTGGGGCGTCTTTTCACATGGAAAAAGACCTCTCTTCTTCTTGAGAAGTAAAAAATAACGTTTATCTATTCAGATGAAACATTCCAAAGTGTGAACATACTCATTCAACCCGCCCGGGGATTGAAAACATAAATTAAGTGCCGTCTCCCAGGTGCCGAGGACGCTAATGTCCTCCTGAGAGACAGGCTTATTTGCTGGATCCGAGATTCCCAGTGTGGCCCAAGGTTGTTACTTCCTGCTCGGTAGGTCTGCTGTCTCTTTAGTCTTCTCTTTGTCTCCAAGCTGAGAGAGAGAGAGAGGGATGGTGAGGGAGAGTGAGCCGGAGGGTTATGCTGGAATGCCCTCCCCTCTTCTTGCTTTTATTTTTAAAATTATTATTTTGGGGCCATATTGGCGGGATCTTAGTTCTCTGACCTGGGATGGAACCTGTGCCCCCTGCAGTGGAAGCCCTGGAGTCCTAACCACTGGACCACCAGGGAAGTCCCTGGTATGCGCCCCCCCCCCCGACCCCCACCACACACACACTCTGATGAGGATTTGTCTCAACTGTGTTTTGAGGGAGCTGTGGGGTACACCTTGGGGAGAAGGCTGAGCTAGACGCTGCTGACTCCCGCCCCCAGTGTGGCTCCTGGGGTGGACTCCTGACCCAGCAAGGCTGAGAGATGCTGCATGCGTGCGTGTGTGTGTGTACACGTGTTTTATGTGTATGCACGGAGGGGTGGTGTGTGGCAGAGAGGAGTTAAATTTGGTTTGGGATCTGAGGGCTGGTTTCCTTCCTTTCCTGGTGAAAGGCCTGTGGAATGAATCACATCCTCTCTTTAGAGTTTAGAGGCCCACAGAATGTCAAGGCCAGCCTGGTGTTGTCGGAGGGACGCCCACCCTGAGGATGTCAGACTCTGGTTTAGGACTCCGTGGAGGGGCTTTGGGCCACCCCAAGGGATGACCCCTATAGCTTCCATCTGGGGTGTTTTATTCCATCCATACATCCGTCGTCACCCTCTCATTGCAAACCTGGGTGATGCTCGACCCCTTGCTGGAGACGGGTCCTCTCTGCTGAGATTGTCACGTGGCCTTTTCTTTAGTCAGATCTCCCTCTGCCTCTCTCTTTTAAAGTTTTAAAAAATTTATTACATGGTTCTTTAAAAAAATATATATTTGGCTGTGTCGTTGCAGCATGTGGGTTTAGCAGCTCCGTGGCATGTGGGGTCTTAGCTGCCTGACCAGGGTTGGAATCCTGTCCCCTGCCGTGGAAGGTGAAGTCTTAACCCCTGGACTCCCTCCCTCTTATGAGGACACAGGTGATTGCATTTAGGGCCCAGCCAGGTCATCGAGGCTGATTTTCCCCTCTCAAGACCTTGAACTAAGGTACATCTGCAAAGACCCTTTTTCCATGTATGGGAACAGGCATTCCTGCTTCCAAGAGTCAGGATCTGGATATTTTTTAGAGGCATTCCCTCAGCATCATGCCCTTGGTCCTGAGAATGAATCTCTTGAGGCTCCAGCCCTGGCAGGTGCCTCCCCCGACAGCTAATCCTCTGGAGTCCTTCGAGGTTGGGCTCCTTATTTCTGCTGTACATCAAAGTAACTGTTTCACATGTATGTGTATATGTATGTACATGAATATGTATGCAAGAATATTTCATATTCTTTTCTATTATGTTTATCACAGGATATTGAGCATAGTTCCCTGTGCCCTACGTAGGAACTTGCTTTTTTTAATCCATCCTTTATATACTAGTTTGCTTCTGCTAGTCCCAAACTCTCAATCCTCCTCTCCCCACCCCCGTGGCAACCACAGGTCTGTTCTCTATGACTGTGTGTCTGTTCCTGTTTCACAGATATGTTTATTTGTGTCCTACTTTAGATTGCACATATATGTGCTATCATACAGTATCTGTCTTTCTCTTTCTGACTTACTTTGCTTACTCTGATAATCTCTAGGTCCATCCATGTTGCCACAAGTGGCATTATTTCATTCTTTTTCATGGCTGAGTAGTATTCCAGTGTATATATATACCACATCTTGTTTATCCATTCATCTGCCACGGGCATTTAGGTTGCTTCTATGTTTTGGCTATTGTGAATAAAGTTTCTGTGAACACTGGGGTGCATATAGCTTTTCCAATTAGGCTTTTGTCAGGATATGTGCCTAGGGGCGGGATTGCTGGATCATATGGTAGCTCTAGTTTTTTGAGGAGCCTGCATACTGTTCTCCATAGTGGGCTGCACCAATTTACATTCATGGTGGGCATTCTGAATTGCACTGTTTCGATCCAGAGGGCAGTTCACGCTCTTTCTCTCACCCTCACATTCAGGCCTCAGCCGGCCCTCTCATCTGTGTTTAAAGCCACACTGCCTCCTCTCTCTGACTCCACCATCACCGAACTGGCCCACGCTGCCCCCTCTTCCACCTGGGAGGCGGCCGGGGCCTCCACCCTTGTCCTCAGCAATTTATCCTCCTCTAGGCACCTGGAGTGAGCTTCCAGGTGGCTCAGAGCCCTGGTAAAGCCCGCATAGGGTTGGATCCCCCTGCCTTCCTGCAGAAGCTCTGCCTGACAGGGGCTGGCCGCCTGCCCCTCCGGATGACCCCGTCCTGCCCCTTCACTTTGAAGGGGTGCCTGTCTCCTCTTCCCTTTGAAAGGCTCTTTTCCAGGCTGTTTGCAGGGCAGGCTCCTCCCCTTCCCATGGGTCTCAGCTCAGATGTCACCTCCTCGGAGAGTCCTCCCCATCCCCCCAGGGTCAAGTTGCTCCCCGCAACCCCGACTCTTATCACATAACCCTGGTCGGCTCCGAACCAATCTCATCCTTGCCTTTCATTTACTGAGACCTCTTCGGTTTGCTCTGAGGCTGCACCCGCGGTGTCTGGTACACAGTCAGTGCTTAATTGATGTATATTTGTTGAGTGAATGTCTGGGTGACACCCTGGCTTCACCCTGGATGTTCTTGGGCAACTTTCTTCCCCACTCGGGGTCTCCTCGTCAGTGTAACCCGGGAGCTTGGGCTGCATGGTCTCCAAGATGGAAGGTTCTGGGCTTCCAGGCCCCAGGAATTCAGGGCTGGTCAGGGCTCTGGGGGACGCACTAGCCTGAGGGAAGATGTGGGAGGAAGGATGACCTTGAGCCACAGGAAAGGGAGGGTCCCTGGGTGGGGAAGAAACTATTTGGGAGGAGTTGCCAAGGTTTAACCGGAGCTCATGGGCCCCCTCCCCAGGGGCCTCCCCACCAGAAGACACTAGCTGTTGTCTTAGTTGCAGAGTTGGGGCTGGGAGGGTGTGCGGAGCAAGTGTCCACCCCACCGGGGACTTCTGCCAAGCAGGCTTTTGTTTATTTGAGATTTGAACAAAAAAGAAGGCTATCCTCTTGAAAACACAGCTTCAGAAACTTTGCTGGAGTTGGGGGATCTGGGCAGACAGCAGGGAGCTTTTCTCCCTCTTTGTTAAATTAAAAAAAAAAAAATTTAATGGAATATCACACATGCCAAACATCAGGAAGAAGAAATTTCATCCAGAAGCCCACCGCTGTTAGACAATCACCGTGAACTTTTGGCAGGGGGATTTTTGTATTTTTAAGGGTGCTTTTGTTTTCCCTGTAGATTATGTTGATTACGGGACTTCCCCAGTGGCTCAGTGGTCAAATAATCTGCCTGCAATGCTGGAGCTGCAGGAAACGCTGGTTCTATCCCTGGGTCCAGAAGATCCCCCGGAGAAGGAAATGCCAACCCACTCCATTATTCTTGCCTGGAGAATCCCATGGACAGAGGAGCCTGGCGGGCTATAGTCCATGGGGTCACAGAGAGTCGGACTCAACTGAAGTGAGTGACTTAACAGGCACACATGTTGATTACAGGGCTGTATACGGCTTCAAAGCTCCCCCCCCCCCCACCCGCCCTTAAATCATACCATTAACTAGTTTCTCCCATCTCCCATGTTGATAAACTTTGTTTGGGACAAGTATGTGAAATTGCCAAATACCGTGGTCTGGTTAACCAATCTCCAGTTTAGATTGTTTAGACATTTAGATTGTTTCTCATTTCTTGGACCATGTCTCACCTAGAGTACCAGTGTTCTCTCTGGCCCCAGGGTGCCTGCACTTTGGGTTCCCTGAAAGGGTCTCCTGCCTCAGGGCCTTTGCACAGGCTATGCTGCTTCCTGTCCCTCGGTTATACTTTTTTGGTGTGTCCCCTTGACTTTCATCACAGTTTGTATGGAGACCTATCTTGGGTTTCTCTCTGAGTTCTGCCTGGCTCCCCAGACCCATGACTGTGAGCCTCCTGAGGGCAGGGGTGTTGCTGTCTCTGGAGGAGTCGGGAGATTGTTAGTTCCATGCCCCCTCGATGTTCATTCTTCTTTTTTTTTTAAGTCTATTTTTGGCTGCACTGGGCCTTTGTTGGTGCACATAGGTATTCTCTGACTGTGCAGAGTGGGGCTGCCGTCTGGCTGCAGTGCTCGAGCTCGTCATTGCAGTGGCTCCTCCTGCTGCAGAGTAGCAGCAGAGTAGCCTGCTCCAGGCTCCAGGCTCAGTAGTTGGGGCACACAGGCTTTGTTGCTCCGAGGCACCTGGGGTTTTCACGGACCCGGGATCGAACCCACATTCCCCTGCACGGGCAGGCGGATTCTCAATCCCTGGGCCACCAGGGAAGTCCCTGATGTTCATCCTTGAGTTATAAAAACAGGGCCTCGACTTCTTTCGTGTCGTAAGTAGTTGAGTGGAGGTGGTGGTGAATAAGTTTTATGGTGAAGGTACATGTGTTAGTCGCTCAGTCGTGTCCAACTCTTTGTGACCCCATGGATTGTAGCCCACCAGGTTCCTCTGTCCATGGGATTCTGCAGCCAAGGATACTGGAGTGGGTGGCCATTCCCTTTCCCAGGGGTTCGTCCTGACCCAGGGATTGAACCCCAGTTGGCTGCATTGCAGACAGATTCTTTACCATCTGAACCACCAGGGAAGCTCGTGGTGAGGGAAGGGGATCCGTTTTTATTTTAGCCCCCCAAAGCATGAAGCAAAGATGAAAATGAGCCCCACAGATGTATGACACCCCATTGAGTTCCTCCATTGACATCCTCTATGTATGTGAACCCACATGACCATGCTGGTTACCATGGAGATCCACAGATGTCCTTGTCACCACGCTGAAAGTAAGAGCTGCTCTTTCTTGAACACATAATTTGTTTTATTCATTAAGTTCTTACAGCCAGCCCCTGAGAGAGGCTTTCAACATCCCCACATTACAGAGGAGGAAACTGAGGCTTGGGGAGGTGTTGTAATTTTCCCAGGATCCACACAGACTAGAAGCGGCTAAAATAGGCTATAAACCGAGGCAGGATGGTTCCAGGGTCAGAGCTCTTGACGACAGCCCCACCCCACTGTGTGCGTGTGCTGAGTGTGAGCACACAACAGCAGCTGCCCTGGTGCCAGGCCCCAGTGTGAACAGGTCACCCCTGCATGTCAACAGGCTGGCCCAGCAGGCCCTGGCTCATGCCTTGGTCTTGCCTGTCCTTGAGGGGTGGAGTCACGGTGGCCCCATGGTGACCTGGCCTTGCAGGTGGGCAGCCTCAAGGATGCTGGCCTTGGACGCTTGCCAGAGCCCATAAAGCTGGTCTTCCTGCCTCATCGATGGGAAGGACCCAGGATCTGATGGGTGCGCCTGGCCCTTTTTCCAAGCTGGGGAAACTGAGGCCCAGGACACAGCCAAAGTCACAAGCCCCAACCATAGGCTTCCTCTTGATGGCTCAACTCCTCCGTCCTGCCGGGGGCCTGGCCCAGGCAGTGCCTGTCACTTGGCCGGCTTTGGGGACCCTCCCTTCCATATTTTTAAGCTTGTCTTCTCTCTTGACTCCTGCCAACCCAGCAGAGGGGTTCAGCCTCTCGGGTCTGAAGTTTGACCTTGCACTAGGCTTTTAATTTCCTTAAGCTTCTGTTTCCTCCTTTTAAGTGGGAGAAACAATGACACCTGTAGTCACCGGGTATTTGTGAGGAAGTGAGGGGATCATCTGTATCCAGAGTTTATTTTAGAGCTGGGGACCCCCACAGCAAGCAAGGAGCGAGTGCCTGCTCTGTGGCTGGGGCTGTTTCCACTAGTGTGGGGAGGTCAGGTCCTCGGTTTGCCTCACGTCCCCTCCTTCCTCGGCGGGGCACACCGCACCGACGTTTGCAGGCGCGGGTCTCGGGACTCCTCCCCCTCCTCTCCAGCGCGGGCAGGACGTGATTCACGGCTGCGCTGGCGGACACCGCCCTTGGCATAACTGACCACGCCCGGCATAACTGACCACACCCGGAACCAGCCTCCCGAGATGTTGTCTATGGGGCTTAGGGATCTTCTCGGCAGAGATAGGGGTAGGGCCCAGGGCTTGGTCCCTGCAGGAGCTGAGACTGGCCCCTAAAGAGCTGGGTTCTTGAAGGATGCCCATGCCTGGGTCTCTGCCAGGAGACGAGAGTCTTAAATCGCAGTGTTCATGTCGTGGCTTTAGGCTCTTGGCTTTCAGTAGAGGACAGGGTCTCAGACGGAGGGGACACATCAGTGGTGCGCTTGTAAAATCTTGTCTTTGTAATTACCAACTTGTGTGAACATTGTATGGCTCCCCTGTCTTCCCCACCCCGGCCCCACCCGAGCTGGCCATGGCTTGTTCACAGCTGGGTCTTGGCTCCTGGTGTGGGGCCTGGCACATAAACTTGTATAAATGGCTTCAATAAATTAGCACTGCCAAGCACTTGTTCATCCTTAGCAAACCTTTCAGCTACTTTTGGAACTGGAAAGGGTGATAAACCCATTCAACAGGTGAGGAAGCCGAGGCTAAGGAAGATAAGAAGGGTGCCCCAGCGCACAGAGGCAGGATGTGGGCTCGAGTCAGTGCTGTGAAGCGGCAACCCGAGCCTCTCTTCTGACTCGGAAGCCCGCCTGCCAGGTGCCGATCTCCAGCAGCCCTCTCTGCTTCTCCGTCTCCCTGCCTTGAAGCCAGCAGTTCTCACCTGGGCGCACCGCATGGAAGATGTTGACACGTGAGACGCCCCGGGAGTGCGGGACCCAGCGAGGCTCCTGGCAGGCAGGCGGTAACTCCACCCTCTCCCACTCAGGAAAGCAGATCAGAATGCAGGGGCGGGGGTAGGCAGGAGATGGTTCTGGGAGAGCCCCACTTGCACTCCCATAGGTATCCTCAGATGTGCCTCCTGTCCAGATTCAGCTCTTGCCACTTTTTGCCACTCCACCCCAGCCAGGTCAGCAGAAATCTCTGTTCCTTCAATGACCTTAGGAGGTCTTTTCTAGCCCTAGACCTCATGCTCTTTCCTTGGCTGGCTCCCTCTGATCCCTTCAGTCGTGTAGCTGAAATGTCACCTCTTCCAGGAAGCCTTCCTTGATCACCCAATTCATGGGATTCAACCATGGTTGAATTCACACAGCAGACCTCATTCCCTTTACCTCCCTTGTCACATGCTGCCATCTTTGTCCTGGCGTGTTGCCTTAATCCATTCCCCATCTTTCCCACTCCCCAGCTCTAAGCTGTATATAAACCAGGGACCTTGAGTTTTGAGTTCATCAGTATCTCCCCATCCCCAAACACAGGGTCTGGCACATAGTGGGTCAATAAATCTTTTGAATAAATTGGTAAAGGAGCAACTCCAAATTCAGCCAGTGCATACGTTGGCACTTCCCACCATCTTGGTCGTCAGAGGGTAGCAGACCGTTTCACAATGGGGTATGTCTCACCATCATGTCATGATGCCCTCGGGGAGAATGGGTGTTCTGAACAAGTCCATCTCTTGTGAGTCAGGGATTCTAGGGAAAAGAGGGGTGTCTTAGGCTGGGCTCCCTCAGAGGCACAGCTTAAGGCGATGGTGCCAGGACAAGTGGTGTACTTGGGTGGTGGGACACTGTTAAGGTTCGCTGACCATCAGGATACCTCTGGGGACAGCTGGGGTTATAAAATGTGCTGGGAACCTTGAGGAGACTCTGGAACATGCCTTTAAACTGTCCTGGCAGCAGTAGAAATCTGTCCACCCGTGCCAGGAGGATTTGGGTGGGGGCTCCGACAGCATCTGCTACAGTGGGCAGGCTCTTCCCCTGGAGGCTAGCATGCTCGGCGTGGCAAGCTCTGTCGGGGATCTGCTGGCTCCAGCAGACAGACAGGGATGGGGGCTCCGGTGAACCAGAGTGTGAGCCCAGAGGCTGTGACCGGGAAGAGGGAAGAGGTTGGCTACTCGTCTTTGTTTCTGCCGGAAACCTGGGGCCGTTTGCAAAATAGTTGCTCCTTTGGGCATAAAAGGATCTCCAAGCCCAGAGAGGTCATTTTCTTGGGTTCCCCTTCTGAGGAAGAATTTTATGATAAGCAGATTTCCTGCATACTGCCTGCTGTATACACTTCCCAAGCCTCTTTGGATGCTGGACAAAGCCCGTCCCTCCCCCAGCTCCCCACATCTGTCCTGCCCTTGGTCTAACTCCACAGGCTCCTCCCCATCCCTTATTCTATCTCTCAGTTCTGTTCAGTTCAGTCGCTCAGTCGTGTCCGACTCTTTGCGACCCAATGGACGCCAGGCTTCCCTATCCATCACCAACTCCCGGAGCTTACTCAAACTCATGTCCGTTACGTTGGTGATTAATAATAATATTGTTGATAAGGACTGTATCTGATGCATATGGCACCCACAAGCAGTGCCCTAACCATTTTGCACGAGTGATCTCTTTTAGTCCTCACAAAAGCACATGAAATACCTACCCATGATTCCATCTTATACTTGAGGAAGCCAAGGCTCAGAGAGGTGGAGTGACTCGCCTGAGGTCACACAGCTGGTGAGGTCAAGATGGGACTGGACGCCAGCTGGTTGACTCTGGAGGTCCTCTTTCTGCATGGTCTTACAGAAGGATAGAGACAGGGCACAGAGGACCGGGACTTCTGCTCACCAGTCCTGCATATTGTCTCCCAAGCACATCATCCTCTGAGCTCTTAAACTGCTGATTACACTGGGCAAAATTAGGGTCTGGAAGAACTGAGAGCAGGTAGTTTTTATTTATTTATTTATTTTGAGCAGGTAGTTTTAAATATGAATTTAGGAGATTGGAGTGTTTTCTCTCACCAGATGGGGGGTAGGTTGCCTTCAGGGGAGGGGTCTGAAATGACTCTTCAGGGAACAGACCCCTGTCTGTCAAGGTGATTCTTCTCAGAGCTGGTGGTTGAGTGGGAGGCTCAGGGGAGGGCCCTCGCTGCCCTCAGAGGGGCTTTGCGGGGCTTTGCAGAGCTTTGTTGCTGGTGACCGAAAGCAAGAGGGTTTGGATGGGTCCTTCTCCATATCGTTTAGAGATGAAAGGATTTGGGAGCAGAGGGTAGACCCTCTCCCAACACGCGCGCGCACACACAGACACACACACACTCCGCTCTGGACGCTGCCTCTTATAGACCCTCTCTCTCTCTCTCTCTCACACACACACACTCACACACGCACACTCACACTCACACTCCGCTCTGGACGCCGCCTCTCCTTATAGCTGCACTCCTGGCCCATCCCGAATCTGTCATTGTCGTTCACTTTAGACTTACCTGTGAGAGGCAGTAGGTCTGCCTGGAGTCCAGGTGGGTCGAGAGCCTGGAGTCTGTCTGGAGTCAGGCGTACCGTGGAAGCGAGTGATCAGATGGGGGGACGGTGCCCTCGGGAAGCACCGTCAGGCAAGTGTGGAGGTGAGACAGGGAGTCAAGGAGTGAACATAGGGTGCGTCACCCAGACAGCACCTCGGAGTTTACCCCAGGGAAGGAGGGAGCCGGGGTGTTGGTTCACCAGTTGCCATCCGTCTGAGGTGGCATGCTGCCCGTGGGGCACTTCTAGCCTGTGCTCCAATGGCGAGAAAGCAAGCCAGAGAATCACAGGCATCTTCAGTAGGCAGCCTTCTGCATCTTAGGATGAGATCTGAGGGTGTAGGGCAGGGCACTCTGGGAATCATCTGCGCCCTTCTCAAGAAAGGTTTGGGCTCTCTGACATGCATTTTATATTCAGAAATTTATTCTGTTTCACTTCATGCTTTCATGCATCTAGCATTAAAAAAAAATAATTGCAATTCCATTTTTTTCTTGTCCTCATTCTTTTTATTTATTTATTTTTGGCCACACTGCGTGGCATGCGGGACCTTAGTTCCCCGACCAGGGATTGAACTCATGCTCCCTGCAATGGAAATGCAGAGTCTTAAACTCTGGACCACCAGGGAATTCCCACATATCTAGCGTTTTTAAAACATTTCTTTTTTCCCCGTCAGGAGCACATTCATTTGATCAGAAGTCAACGCCGCAAAGGAACCCAGGCGGTGGTCTTCGTGGTCTTGGTGTCTCTGAGCCTCAGTTTCTATAAAGTGGGAGTAAAATACTACAAGATGACTCTTTGCCTGTGAAGTGTTTCTCCTGGAAACCGGCTACACATTCAATAAATGGTAGCTGTTCTTGTTGTTATTAGTAGGATATAAAATTTAGATATTATAGCTAAGCAAAAAAAAAAAAAAAAAGGATTAAAATCCCTGGTGGTCTAATTTCCCTCCACTTAGAGTCAGCCCCTCTGAACATTTCTTGGTTTGTTTATTTACTGGCTGCACTGGGTCTTTGTTGCTGCATGCGGGCTTTCTCGAGTTGTGGGGCTGCTTCTGGTTGTGGTGTGCAGGCTTCTCATTGCAGTGGCGTCTCTCGTTGTGGAGCACAAGGCTGCCCTAGGCACGCGGGGTTCAGTAGTCGCGGCCAGAGGGCTCCAGAGCACAGGCTCGGTAGTTGTGGCGCGTTGGCTGAGTTGCTCTGTGGCATGTGGGATCTTCCCAGACCAGGGATCCAGCCAGTGTGCCCTACGTTGGCAAGCGGACTCTTAACCACCGGTATTTCTTACATATTCTTCTAACACTGTCTCTCGGTATCCACGTGTTCATACTTGTATACCCACCCATGTGCATCTATATAAAACAAGAAAGGGGATCTTCATGGTCCATATCATACCTAAATGTTTTAAAATTTAACTGTTACATAATCATTTGGCCAGGTTAATATACATTCACAAGGCTCAAAATGCAAAGTTACCAAAGTGACAACTGTGAGAAATCTCCCTCTCTGACCCTCAGTTCACCCCTTTCCCCACCTGCCACCCCAGGGAATTAATTTAAAGCTTATCTTTAATTGTAGTTTTGCCCCTACCCCCCACCCCTGAAACTCTTTGTAACTGCTTCTACCTGAAAGTGTAAAATGTGAGTGTGAATGTGCTCACGGTAACTCGTGTATCACGCAGAGAGGCACCTATATATATCCTTGTAGGCGGTAAACGTTACCTTGGAAAGTGACCCATGTTTGGCCTCCTATGTCGATGGTATCATTCTGGCCCTGTAGACAGAGGCTTTCTTAGTACCACCTGATAAAGATGATGGATTTGGGAGTCACAAGGCCACTGGCTGACCCCTCGAACACGTGGCACTCTTCACTTTAAACCACAAGTGCTCCGTGACCGTAATGAGTGGCTGGATCCTCTGTTAACCAGAACCTTTCATTAACCGAGGCCTCTCCTCTGCCTCCCTCGCCTCTCACCCTGCGTTTAAGGCAGAGAGAGAAAGAGGTCAAAATAAACTATTCTCAGCGATGCTAAAGGTCATGACTCCTTACAGTGGGTGAATAATTCGTGGTTCAGTTAAACAAGGTTGGGCCTGGGGTCAGGGCAGTCAGCCCGGTGGCCCAGGCCTTCAGCATGCTGAGGGGGCTGAAGATGAAGTTAGAAGATCCAGGGACTGAATGCCAGCTTGTCCCTTCCTGCCCCTGTGGTTCCCTCTCTGTGAGCCTCAGTTTACACATCTGTATATTGGGTATGTACCAACCCAGTCTGATAGAACTTCCTGTTCTGTTCAGTAAGGTACCCAGCTTCCTGTGCTGGTTGAGTCCTTAAAATGGGACTGGTGTGACTGAGGCACTGAATTAAAAATTGCATTTAATTTTAATCAGTTGACATTTAACGCTTAGTGCTTACATGGGAAAGTACAGTGCCAGGACCTACGTTGTAGGATTTGATACTCAATCACTTTGCTTTTTGTTCTTTTTTGTTTGTTTTTAATATTTATTTGGCCGCATCAGGTCTTAGTTGAAGCATGTGGGATCTTTAGTTTGCAGCATGTGAACTCTTAGTTGCAGCTTGTGGGATCTAATTCCAGGGCCGTTCCCTGACCAGGGATCGAACCCTGGCCCCCTGCAGTGGGAGCACAGAGTCTTAGCCACTGGTCCACCAGGGAGGCCCCTTACTTTGCTTTTTGAAACCTCAGTTTACCTATCTGTAGAATGGGGATAAAAATAGCATCAGCTCCAGAAGGTCACTGGAGAGATTAACAGCACCCAGCACCGATAGGGGTGGGAGGGGTTCAGGGTGGGGGCAGGGAACAGCATCATTTAAGCCAATAGCTGTTGGCTGCTGTGAGGATGAAGTAGGTGGGATTGGGAGTGAGGCTGTCAGAGTTCGAATCCCGACCGCATCTCTTCGGCAAACTGCTAAACTTTTTTTGAGGCCTCCACTGTCCTCATCCATCAAGTGGGCCTGATTGCGCGGTCCAGCTCAGAAGGTGAATTAAGTGGGGAAATTTATTTAGGGTGTCGTATGGCACAAAGTCAATGCTCCACTCGTGTTAGTGATCTCACGATGGTAATTATTAACACAGAGCTTTCCTGGCCCAACTTCATAGGTCTGAGGACAAAGCAACTGAATAAACTTAGGACAGTTCATGGGGTTCTCTCATTGGCGGCCGGGCCAGGTGTGTTTCTTCAGCTCCACGGAGGCCTCGGTTCCCGTGCCAGGAGCAGGGCCTGACTGTCGTGCCCCGAGGCTGGCAGCGCAGGGCCCTGACAGGTCCACAGGCTGCTGGGAAGTTGGTCCCAGAGGAGGAGGAGTCGGCTGCCTGAAGGGCATGGGAGGTGCGGTTATCCTCCTGGGAAAGTCAGGAGAGGACGTGTCAGCTGGCGCCGCAGGTTCATGGCCATGGGCGGTGCCCTGATGGTTATGGCTGGGGAGGGGTGGGACAGGGTGGGTGCAACAGCCGGGATGGACTTGGGCTGTTTACATCCCTGGGTTCAGCCTTGACCATCCTTTCAGGATTTTCTTGTGCCTGGCTTCTCTTTGGGATCTACATTCTTTGGCGCTGCCCTCTGATTTTAATCAAGGCTTGTGTAAATGACAGGCTCGTACTGGATCTTAGGCCAGCCTTGCAAACAGTATCCACTTAGCCAGTCACTCTTCCTTCCCCTCTCCCCAGCTGGGCAACTGGGGTAGAGTTTGAGAGTCAGGGTGGAGTTTCCTGAATCACTGTCTCTCTCAAATTTCTTCATCAGAGAGCTATTCCTTTAAGTCTAGGTTAAAAAAAAAAAAATCCACCAACCTACCGTTCCCTCCAACAGGCTTCATGTTCTGTTTATTTGCTCATTATTTACCATCCATTTGCAGAAACCTACTATGTTTGAGCCAAATATACTGATGGTATTTTTCATGCACCATGTCTAATCCTCAGAATCCTTTGAGGTAAGTATTACTGAACTTAATTTACTCGTAAGAAACTGAGCTTTCAGGGGTAAAGTGGCTTGTCAAAAGCACAACTGCATTCACTATGTTTACTTAGAAGACATCTGTCCACTTAGCCAATTTGTACCAAATTCTGTGTCTATTAGGAATGCTTTTGCCTTCATGTAACAGAAACTTTAACAAACAGTGGCTTAAACGGTACATCATTACTTTTCACATAACAGTAACAACAGAGGAGAATAGTTCAGTGCAGTAGCTCAGCTATGTCATCAAGGTCATTTTCATGTCACTTAAAGTATCACTTGTGAGCCCATGGTCCTAAGCCATGGTTGCCTTGGCTCCAGGCATCACATCTTTGTTCCAGGCAGGAAGATGGGGAGGAAGCACCAGACACTGCATCTGCCTGTTTTTGAATCCAATGCCATGTTCTTTCCATTTTTCCCAGTGAATTCTAGCCTCAGGGGCCTTTTGCCATTTCCACATAACCCCTGTACCATCATTTTCTTTAAACTTTTCACTTTTCTGAAAGTTAAAATTTTAAAAGAACTGTTATGAAAATCTCTATTGTAAATAGCAAACCAGTGTCTTGTCTTAAATTGAAAACAACAGTGAAATTAAATATAGTGAAAATAAAATTATATTTTAAAATTCACTGCTGCAGCTGATGGTCCAAGCTTGGGGCTGTTTTGTCTTTTTTAAACTGGGAGAGTATAGTGACGGGGATAGCAGGTAGTGTAGGTATTAAAGTCATGGTGGCACCAAGCACAGATGGCCTCAGGACTTCATGGGGAGGCACCCGTGAGAATCAGAAAGGAAACAGTTTTCACAGGATGTCATTCACAAAAGCTTCGTGCTATACCTGGATGTCAAAGCATCGTGTGTATGTGTGTGTGTGTGTCTAAGAGTGCACGCGCTCAGTCATGAGCAACTCTTTGCCACCCCATGGACTATAGCCCGCGAGGCTCCTGTGCATTGGCAGGCAGATTCTTTACCACTGAGCCACCCAGAGAGCCCTTCAGAGCACCCTAAGTGTTACCAAAGACCACCGTGTGTCCCTCATGGACTGGCTTCCACCTCTGCGGAGCCCCATGCTCTCCTATTCTGCCTTGCCTCTGCCAGGCATCAGGTAGGTTCTGGGAAGAGGAACCCAGAACCAGAGGGTCTATGTCCTCTGCCAGCTGGGGAGGGAGCCGTAAATTTTGCCAGGGGAGACCCTCATGCTTTGTCTCTGATGCAAGGCTTGATGATCAGGCAGATTGCCAAAGAAGGTTGGAAGACACTTTGGCTTAGGAAAATCTGCATAGGCTTCCTGGAAGAGGTGTCCCTCCATCTGCCCTGAAATCACGGGTGGGATTTGGGCAAATGGAAATTTTGCTGTGGGGTAAAGGAGTTGGACTGTGAAGAAAGCTGAGCGCCGAAGAATTGATGCTTTTAAACTGTGTTGTTGGAGAAGACTCTTGAGAGAGTCCCATGGACTGCAAGGAGATCCAACCAGTCCATCCTAAAGGTGATCAGTCCTGGGTGTTCATTGGAAGGACTGATGTTGAAGCTGAAATGCCAATCCTTTGGCCACCTCATGCAAAGAGTTGACTCATTGGAAAAGATCCTGATGCTGGGAGGGATTGGGGGCAGGAGGGAAAGGGGACGACAGAGGATGAGATGGCTGGATGGCATCACCGACTCGATGGACATGAGTTTGAGTAAAGTCCGGGAAGTGGTGATGGACAGGGAGGCCTGGTGTGCTGCGATGTATGGGGTCGCAGAGTTGGACACGACTGAGTGACTGAACTGAATTGAACTGAAAGGGTTCTCCATGGAGAAGAAATAAGTGAAAAAGATACTCAGGTCATGGGACCTCTTTGGGAATCTGGAAGTGTAGGCAGGGCCTGTAATATAGATCAAGTTGGTTAGTTTTGGCCGATGTGTGGGTGGGTGGGTGCAGATGGTCTAGAATACCTTCCCCAAGGCAATGGACAGTGGGAGCCATTTATTTTGGAGCTGAGGGGTGGGGGGCGGTAGGGGCTGGTGTGCAAGATGATCAGACCTTCCCAGGGTTTGAACCTGAACTTAAGGCAGCTCTTGGGCCAAAATAGGCTAATTCCTCCAGGAATCTATCCGTGCTCGGAGGGAATTTATTTTTCTGCAGGGCGATATGCACCTCTTAGGCCCCCTAAAGAGAGTGCGCTGTGCATGTGTAGAGTTGAGCTCCTAGGTTCAAGTGCCTCCTCTCTGAACGTCATTCCCGGGGTGGGGCTTCCTCCCCGCCCCCTCTCCTACGTGCATTCAGGCCTCACATAGCTTTCTGGCCAGGCCTAGACTCTTCTCTCCCTGTGACCAACTGGTTTTAATTGCGCTCGCAAATTTTACAGCCAAGTGTGTGATGGTCCGGCCGTAAATGAGAACCAGTAAAGATCCCAGTGATGGCACAGCCAGCGCCCCCAGGGCCCTGGTTTATTGCTCATTAGACATCTTTATTGGGTCTGCCCCAGGGCAGAGGTTAAGAACCCTGGCCTCCTAAGCTTTGAAGTGAGTCATCATGGAATGTTTTTTCCTTTGGTGTAAAGGTCCATTCTGCATATATCCAAAGCTCAGGGAGAAAAAAAAAACGGTGTCCATCCTTGGAACCAGCCAATCCACTTCTAGGCAACATTTATCTTGGGAAAGTCATTGCATGTGGGTGTTCATTGCAGTGTTGGTTTTAACAGTCAGCGATTGGAAACAGCCTAGGGATACAATAGTGGGAGGTGGTTTCAGTATAATGAGATAGCCATGTAATGGAATACTACAAAGCATGAAAAACAGCTGTACATGTTACCCAGTTATTTGATGTGAAAGATGTTTATGACATAATTTTGAAATTAAATGAAACAAGGTAAGTTCCTAAACAAATAGCATGGCGTGCCCTGATTCCATTTTAATTTTGAGAGTAAATCCCCACTTTTATTGGAAATGGCCAGATTGATGGACATCAGATTGCTAATAATGGCTGTTGGCTCTGGGTGGTGGGATTTAGGATTATTAAAAACATTTTGCTTATCGATATTTTTGAGTTTTTCTGTAATTGTCATGTAGAGAGCCTGAAAAGATTTAATGAAGGCCTGAGTGTCTGCCAGAAATGTGAGAGCTTTAGGTAATTTAAAGAGGGGGATGTCATATCCTTGGGGGAGTGCAATCAGTGTCTCAGGGGACTGAGTTCTCCACAGTCTAGAGCAGCGGGTCACAAACTCTGTGAAGGGCCGGAGAGTAAATATTTAAGGCTTTGTGGGCCATATGGCCTCTGTGGCAGCCACTCAGGTCTCCTAATACCTTGGAAGAAGCCATCGATTACATGTAAATGAGTGGCTTTGTCTGTATTCTAATAAAACTTTATTTACAAGAACAAGCAGTGGGCCGGATGTGGCCTGCGGACTGTGGTTTGCCCATCCTGGATCCAGAGAAAAACAAACAAAAGCAAAAAAAGCTGCCTGATTAATGGTTTAGGGGTGAGTACTGTAGCCAGTCCTGAAATAGCACAAATAGTAGGAAGGAACAGGCCAATGAAAGTTGAAAAGACGGATGTTTACATAGGGGCATAAAGGTCACTCGAAACATTCTTTCTCCAAATCAGCAGTTGCACCTGGAGGAGGGGTGCTAGGGTGAAGCAGTTTAGATGATGCTGTGGAGTGTATAAGACGCCAATTAGCTCACACCAAAGGCTCCAAAAAGTCTTGCTGGAAAGACATGAATTTACACATATCAGCATTTCCCAAGCGCTTTCTATAAACCACAGGATCCTCTGTGTGGGTGTGAATGCATGCCACCCACATCGAGTGGTCTGGGACCAGTTGGGGGATAACCCCCTCAACCTGTTCCTGTGGATTGGAGTCTGAAGGGTCAGATGCCCCAGCTCGTAATTCAGTACAACTTGAAATTGACACAGAAGTCAAGGCCTTACTGATGAAGGCAGTTCTTAACAAAAATCACACACATTCCAGTAAGACACTCAGCTCTCTACTTCTGTCAACACGGAATAAGAATTTTATTGAATCCCCCAACAGTCGTTATTCAGCACCAGTTCAGAAAGAATCGTGGGGGACCAGGGGACGTGGAACAGGCAGCTCAGAATCCAGAGAACTGGGCTCCACGGTGGAGGGTGGGGGATGGGGCTGGGGTGATGAACCATGGACAGAGAAAAGTTGCATAATGCAGACCTGATAAGTCCTGGCATTGAGCCAAATGAGAATCGCAGAATCTGGCGGGGACTTGTCCAAACCCTCATTGCAAGTTGGTGGAGGAACTGAGGCCAAAACGAGGGTGAGAGACATGTTGGATGATTCCATTTCTTTGAAATATCCAGAAATGGCAACTCTGTGGAGACGGAGAGCAGAGTAGTGCTTGCCAGAGGATGGGGGCGGGGTTGGGGGGTGGGGGTGACGAGGAAGAGGGAGTGATGCTTAGCTTGTTGGGTATGGGGTTTCCTTTGCAGTGCTGAAAGCGTTTTGGAGCTCGACAGTGGCACTGGTTGCACAATGCCATGAATTTACTAAATGTCACTGCTTGCACACTTTGAAATGATGAATTTTATATTATTATGTGGTTTCTACCACAGTATTCTTTAAAAAGTAGGATGACAGAATAATTCACTGTCCCAACATAGGCACTTTTGAGAATGATAATAGCTGACCTTATGGGTGTTAAGTGTCCTTTACATTGTAACACCATAAAAGCACAGGTTCTGGTTAAGCCTATGTGGATTTTGGAAGAAATCCTGCAGGCAGGGAGCGTGGATCAGGGTAACTCACACCTCCCACAGCAGATCCGTTTGCTGCTCCAGCTTCAGTTTCCTCACCAGTAACATGGGCTTCTGTTGGGGCCTTTTTTTTGCTGCTCTGCAGGTGGGATCTTAGTTCCATCCCAGTGAGGGATGGAACCTGCACCCCTTTCGGTAGAAGCGAAGCGCCTTAACTGCTGGAACACCAGGGAAGTCCCAGGACCTGCTTCTTTGTGTTGTTAAGGAGATGCATGAGGTCATCTTCCTAAAGCACTTAGCACAGTTCCTGGCACATGGTATGGTGCTTAATAAATAATATTTATCTTTATCCTTGGCTTTTGGAAGCTCTGAAAGTGGGCAGGAAGGGAGCCTTGGTGCCTCTCCATCTTGAATCAATGGGGAGAACACAGCTCTGAGGGGAACTTCCGGTATTGAAGCCTGAAAAGAAATGTTTGCACAAACAACATGAATGGAAATAAGGAATCTCAAGTGAAAGGCAATTTATAAATATAGCAATTCCTCTCCAGGTCCCTGACACATTTTTATTTTTCATCTGTCCCTTTTCTCTGCCAGACCTTGACCATTTGTTCAAACAATCTTTGCCATTGTCACAGCCTTGAGTACAAAAAAATATCCCATCCAAGGACTTCCTGGTGGTCCAGTGGCTCAGACTCTATGTTCCCATTGCAGGGGGCCCGGATTCAATCCCTGGTCAGGAAACTAGATCCCACATGCTGCAGCTAAGAGTTCACATACTGCACCCAAGACCTGGCATGGCCAAAATAAATATTTTAAAAATATTCCATCTGTCACCCTCTCTTCAATGTCTTTCTCATAAGCTCTTCCCACTTTCCTACGCAGACTCCACCACCCCGCGCCTCCAGCTCTCACTTTCAAGAGATGCAGAATAGCCCCTTACATGTGGCTGAGAGGCATTCACCTTTTGGGGAGAATGTGGATTATTTCTGAGTTTTTGCCATGACTGCCATGGCAACCATCTTTTCTGATCAAACTCAGGCCATGTAGTATGAAGGGACTTTTATGCCACTTGTGGGCAGGCTGGAAACCGGTGAGCTGGTCTACCTGCTGACTTTGCAACTCTGAAATTTCAAATGGCTTTTGAGTCCTGAGTGTTTTCAAATAAGGTCTATCAGCGTAAATCTGGGATGTGTCATTATTGCATATTGCAGTGGGATGGATAACACTGCAGAGGGCATCTCTGTGTATGTGGTTTTGTCTTTCTTTAGATTCCTTCCGGAGAGTGCTTCCTCTATGGCTCAGTGGTAAAGAATCCGCCCACAGTGCAAGAGCCACAGACGACGCAGGTTCGATCTCTGGATTGGAAAGATCCCCTGGGGGAGGAAATGGCAAATCACTCCAGTATTCTTGCCTGGGAAATCCCCTGGACCCAGAAGCCTGGTGGGCTACAGTTCAGGGGGTCTCAAAGAGTTGGACACGACTGAGCAGCTAAGCACGAGCGAGAGAGCCGTTCCACAGCACACTTTTAGACTCGGGACTAGCAAGTTAAAAATAAATGAATGTTTTGGGGGTGAGGTAAATGTGGAGAAAACACTTGATTCATAGTCAGAAGATTTCAGCCGTAACATTCCCCCTCACTAGCTTGAGATCTGACTCATTTTCCGCATCTGTAGAATGGTGGTAATACACGGGAGAAGGCAGAAGGTGCAGAGTCACTTAGTCCTTGACTCTTGATGGGATCTCCAAAAATAATAGCGGGAAGTGAATACTGCCAAACTGCTTCTGTCACTTGCATTGTCCCCAGGAGCAGGTGAGCATGTCAGCTTCCCACACCCACACCTGCCCTGGATGCTATTATTTTCTTCTCTCAGGCATGCTCTCCCTGAAGGTATTTTTTGCACCCTGACCTCATGTCTGGTACGGTGCCAGACTCTGGGGAAAACAGCTGTGAACTGGACTCAGGACCCTCCTGGCCAGGAGCTCCCAATCTGGAGGCAGTTACCACATGCAGGATCAGCGCTGGGCTAGGGAGGAGCTAGGAGAGTTGAATAGCAGAGCCGGGAGGCGGTACCTGGACCTGCCCTGGGGCATCAGGGAAGGCTTCCCGGAGGAGGTGGCTGGTGCTGAAGTTAGCCATGCAGGAAATGGCAGTGAAGGCGTGAAGGCGAGGAAAAGCATAGCGTGTCTCGTGACCCGCCCGGGGTTCATGTCCTGAAGTATATGAGTGAGTGTGAGGGACAGAGAGAGGAGGAGCCGTCCGTCACGAGACTGAAGCTGGAGAGGATCCAGACCCTGCCGTGGGCCCCAGGGGAGTTTGGTCTTCCTTCAGAGGGCAGTGGGGAGACCCACCCAGGTGGGCTTTGAGCAGGGGAGTGGCATGATGACCCCTGTGTACTGGAGAATCCCTCTGGCTGCTGCCAGAACAGACTGGAGGAGGCACCAGCAGAGAAAAGTCACTTATCTGATTGTCTATGTGTCTTGCTTGTTTATGTCATTTATGGTCTGTCCCCACCTTCATCACTGTCAGCTCCATGGGAACAGGGCTTTCTATATGTTTTGTTCACTGTTGTATCCACAGAGCCTGACTCACGGTGTGTGTGCATGCTAAGTCGCTTCAGCTGTTTTTGACTCTTTGCGACCCTGTGGACTGTAAACTGCCAGGCTCTTCTGTCCATGGGATCCCCTAGGCAAGAATAATGGAGTGGATTGCCATTTCCTTCTCCAGGGGATCTTTCCCAACCCAGGGGTTAAACTCGTGTCTTTTACATCTCCTGTGTTGGCAGGCGAGTTCTTTATACCACTAGCGCCAGTTGAGTAGGTGCTCAGTAATTGTGTGTTGGAATGAATGAATGAATGAACTAGGGCCACAGCCATGGGGAGGGAAAGGAGGGTATGCACACACGCCACTGACATTAGATGTTGGTCCCTCTCCTGCTGGGGTTCTGTGGGTGGGCCCAGTATGTGCGTTTATCATAGTCCTGCTCTCCTGGGGGCAACTGGACGTGTACTTGGCACCTTGCACGGGGTGCCACGCAGGATGGATTTGCAGATTTGGGAGGCCAGGTTACATTCCGGAAGATGCTGGGAGATGTCAGGACTGGCTCCCAGCCCTCAGCAGATGGTGGCATTCCCAGGAAAACGGCACCCAGAGCCGGCTGAGTGAATGACTGTGAGCTCTCGGATCAGATTTAGGGGTGTAATTATGAGAGATTGACAACAGCTGTTAGAATGAATCAACGCCTCCAAATCTGAGAGAGAAGCTGCCAAACAGTCAGGTTCTGAATGGAAGGGCTCCTCCTGCTCCATCCCTTCAAGCTTCTCTCGGATCCCCCGGGAGCCTGTGCACTCCACGGCCGTGCCCCCGGCATCCGGCGCAGAGCCCGACTTCTAGAAGGAAGGTCAGAAGGATGGAGGGATGAATGCTCTTGATCGGGCGCCTGTCTAATTTCAGCCACTATTGGTGTTGGTGACTCAACTCCCAGGAACATGGTTTTTCCCTGCGTAAAACTGCAGGAAATGGGAATCTCAAACCTTGCAGATCAATTCAGGGAGCTCGAGCCTGTGGACTTGGCAGGTTCAGGGACAACAGAGGTCCACCCGCCGCTACCCCCGCTGCTGCTGCCCACAAATCCTCCGTGTCCTGATCCACTCTGGCCTCCTGACCTCCCAGAGCTGCCCGTCTGTCACCCTCCGAGCCGACCTCCATGTTGATTCGTAGATAAAACCAGACACAGCTCATACCTGGCGTTGCTGCTTTCTCCAGCGAGCTCATGTTTCCCTTACTCTGGCCACCGTGCGAATATATTTAAAAAGAGCGATCCAGGCCACCCCAGGAAAGAAAAAAAAAAAAACCAGCATCTGTCTTCTGTGTGAGTGGGCTTCTGAAATGTTTTGGAAGAGACTAACATCTCTTAAATTAAGCATAACATATGTGATGCATTTAAAGTAAGATTTTAAAGCATACATTTCAGTCGGTTTCCTTGTATTTTACAACAGGTTAAAGGAAAACCTGAGATTCATGGGTTTCTAGGTTTGGGAAAGACTTCAAAATATTATTTAGCCATCCACTACGGTGGTTTAAAAGCTCTTTCCCCACCCCACCCCCACTGTGTTCACTGATTGATTCATTCATTGATGCGTTCCGCAACCATATTTATAGATCAGGCATCTGCCTGGCATTTTAAATGGAAACTTGAGAGGGAGCCCAAGATAGAAAGGAAATTACGGATAACAGAGACACCCTTCTGGTTAAGGAGGAAGTGGACCAAGAATCTTTTATCTTGTTTTCCCCGGTTTCCCCTGCTGCAATCTGGCCCCTGAAATGCGTTCAGGGATCCCAAAGTTGCAGGCGACATTTGTAAGCCATGGACCCTGCTTCAGCAATGATGCTTTTGGTGGTCTTTCCCAGGAAAAGCCGTACAGAGAAGCATCCGTCCGTTCCACCTTTGGGCAGATGAGCCCGTGTGACAGTGTGGGGTTGATGCCATCACAGCAGGTGTCTGACGGTGGCCTGTCCCCGGCAGTGGGACCTGTTGTTGGGGGCGGCAGGCTGGGCTGCCCAGCGGAGCTCTTCACAGCTCTTTGGTTCTGTCACTCAGTAGCGCTTGACCCATGGCCGCGCCAGAGCTTGCCAGAGGAACTTGCTCACCTTGTATCCTAGACTGCTCAGTGTCATGAAACTCAGGACTCCTGCCCTTACTCAGAATCTTAGTAGCACCCGGACAGCAGGGCCAGGAAGATAGTTCTTCATTTATTTATTCACTCAATAATGATGCGTTCAGTGCTCTTATCTGCCAGGCCACTGTGCTAGCTGCTGGGGTGCCCTCTGGGGACCTCCGTTGATATGAAGCGAGGGATCCTGCACTACGAAATACAACTGTGTATTTAGATGAGTCCTGCTGTGTGTCTGTGTGTCTCTGGGCATGTAAGAGTACTGGATTGGAGGCGGGCAGCGGTGTCTAAACTGTGACCTCAGGGCTGGGCCAGTGCCTATGTGTAGCGACAGAAGCATCTCAGAGAGCAGACATAGCATGTGCAAAGGCCCCGAGGAGGCGCGTGAGGACCTCCAAGTGCTGCCGAGCCGGACAACCGGGGGCACCAGCTCCCAAGTTCGCCAGCTCCCTGGTGTTCGTGAGTTACCTCCTCTAGGCCAGGGGAGTCTCCTGGGACCAGCACCCCCAGCTCTGGGCAGTTAACCTTTCTTTTTCTGTGCTCCCATGCCCCCCTTGATTTGCATGCGTGCTTAGTCGCTCAGTCTCTCAGGCGTGTCTGACTCTTTGTGACCCCATGGACCACAGCCCGCCAGGCTCCACTGTTCTTGGGATTCTCCCGGCAAGAATACTGGAGTGGGTTGCCATTTCCTCCTCCAGGGGAGCTTCCCCATCCGGGTATTGCTCCCATGTATCTTGCAGTTCCTGCATTGGCTGGTGGATTCTTTACCATTCTTTACCCCTTTATTTATTTACCTTTTTGGTTTATTTATTTATTTTTGGCCACACTTTGCAGCACGCGGGATCTTAGTTCCCTGTCCAGGGATCAAACCTGTGTTCCCTTCTTTGGGAGCGTGGGATCTTGACCGCCGGACCGCCAGGGAAGCACCCCCCCAAGTCCCTCTTTATAAGCCATGTTTATTGCCCAGCATAGTTGCTTGTGTGTGTTTCTCACACAAGACTCTTAATTCCCTGAACAAAGGAGATATTTCTTATTCATCCTTCTGCACACAGTAGGTGCTCAATAAAATACATTTCAGAGGAACAGGGGCGGTTTTTATTGAGCGCCGACTGTGGACTCCGCACCCTTGATGCCCACGTGTAGCCACAAGGCGACAATACTGAAAAGCTGACAGGAGCGTTGAGTTTTACAAGCTGGCAGAGATGCCAGTGGGATGCGGTTGGAGCTCGAAAGCTTTCGTGCTGTCTGTGCCCATATTTTTGCCAGAACCCCAGAACCAAGCCTGCCGCTCTGTGTCTCCCCAGAACTGCCCGAAACTCAGCCTGCCGGGACCAGCCTACCCCTGTTGCCCAACCCCCACCCCACCCCTTGCCGGCTTCTGCCAGGGGAGTGTGCAGACAGCCCCGTTCGTCCGCGATGAGACGCGATTCTGCTTGCTTTCTCGGGCAGTCACACGTCCGCAGCCAGGACCTGCCAGCTCGGGTAAGTGGGGCTGCTGTGGGTTCTGCCAAGGGATTTTCTCTCTGTTCCCTGAATATCCTGTCCTTGTCCCATGTCTCACACCTGTATCCCGGAGGTCACGGGAGCTGGCTGTAACGATGAGCAGTCCCGGTTTGGGGCAGGACTTTGCATGCCTACGCACTCCGCCCTGGGTCACTGCTGACAGATTCCTCCCAAGTCTCGATTTTCTGGCTCTCTGCTACTGTCCTTCTCTTCTGCCTCTGACCCCGACTAGATGGTGTTCTCTGCATTGGGAAGAAGGAATCAGTTTAGCACCATTGAGCGTGTAGGGAAGAGAAGAGATCAAAATCTGTCCGCCTTTCTTTCCTGCAGGCTGCAGTGTGAGTCAGAGCCGGGGGCAGCAGTGTGGGGCCCCCGGAAGGGAAGCGGGAGGCTTGCGTTGAAGTAAAACACCTTCTACTTTTAGCCCATCTAGACGAGGGGGCAGGCTGGGGGCAGTTTTGTAGGGAAACAGAGCACTGGCGTGAAGGTGGGGTTTTTAGGGTAGGGGACGCATCGAGAACAGCAAATCATCTGGCAGTTTTTAAAACCGGGAAGGAGCAGGACGTTACTGCTCAAAGGGGAGAGTTGAATGGATCCAGGACTTGAGATCGGTTTCAGATGTGTGATGGTTGGCAAGTTGGGCAACCTCTCTGGGCCCCATCCTTACACAGGGAGATAAGGACAAGCCCTGCCTCTCAGGGTCATTGGCGGATGGACGAGAGAGGTCTCCTGTCCTGAGAGAGCAGAGCTCACGGTTGGAGGAGCAAGGGGCTCGTGCCTGAGCTGTTGCGGAATAGGGACCGATGATCACATGCCCATCTGGCAGGGTCGTAGGGAGGAGGCTGTGATTCGTGAGACAAGGGAGCCCTTGGCTTCCCTGAGGCCTGACTCGCGGTAACTCTCATCCTCAGCTGATGATACTCTTCTTCCTGAGACTCTGAAGGCAGTCAGCTTAAAATAGGTGTTCAGCTGAAAAGAGCCCAAAGGCAAAAAATAAATAAATAATGACAGCAGGTGGAGTGGAAAATGAGGATGGCTTTTTTCTCTTTTTTTAAGGCTTCTGGAAAGACTGGGAAAGGGAGAGAGGTGGGATGGTCTGGGGAGCTGGAGTTCTGAGGCCGCTTGCCAACTCTGTGACCTTGGGAACACCGGCTTTGGGTGTCTGTGTGAGCTGGCGCTGGTCACTGGCCCTCTCTGCTTGGTCCTGAAGAGGGTGAGGATCAGCCCGACCTGGGCAGGCTCTGAAATGGGAAAATACTGCGGGGGGGCGGGGACAGGAATCTCACACTGGGAGCCTGCGGTGTGCGTCTGGAGTCCGACCTGGGTTCGAATCCCAACTTTGCCTCTTTTGTCCTCTGAGTGATTTCAGGTCAGTTACTCAGCCTCTGTCTGATGGTTTCCATGTCTGTACAGCCGAGAGCATCGTTCGTTACCCTGAAAGCTGGCCTTGAGATTAAACGAGCTGGGAAAGTCCAAGTGAACGTTGGCACCGTTTGGGCACCCTTTGAGCTGGAACGAGCTTCAGAGTCAGGCCTTTTAGTCCGCTGCCCTTGCCCAGAGCTGAGAGTGGAGGCCACTGGCCCAGGCTTGCCCGGTGGTCAGTGGAGAGCTGTAGTCCAGACCTGGGGCTCCGGTCTCTTGATCCTCATCCATCTTCATCTCCCCCCCACCTGCCCAAATCTCTCTGCTTCAACCCAGACACTGACTGAATCTTAAATTTACTTAAAAAAATTTTTTTTTTTAGTGGTTGCCTCTCCATTTCTGACGCGCTTCTTCCCCATGGATCCACAACCGTAACCATGGCGACGCGGGTGGAGGTCGGCTCCATAAGTTCCCTGACCGGGGTGCGGGGCCTGGGCGAGCTCTCCAAGGAGGAGGCCCTGACACGGACCTACTTCCGCCAGGCTGGAGATGCCCCCGGGCCCCCCTCGGCACTGCTCTTGGAAGGAAAAAGCCCCCTCAGGAGCCCGGTCCGCCTGCTTCCTCTGCCAAGACTCGCCCCCAAACCCTTCTCCAAGGAGAAGGCCGCGGACGTGACACCCTTGTGGCCCAGCCCAGCCAGGCCGTCTCCTGCCGAGGGGCTCTCCCAGGACGTGGCCTCAGGGCATCTGGACGAGAAGATGCCGGGCCTGGCAGGGCAGGCGGCGGGGAGCGGGGACCTCCCGAGAAGCATGTCTCTGTTCCCCAGGGCCGCCATCCCGCGGCCCACACCAAACCCCACGGTCTTCTTCGAAAGCACCAAAGCCGGCCCCGCTCTGGGGCAGGGGGCTGGCCCGGGGGCTCGTGAGGCTGACACAGGTGTGTCTCCGGGACCTGCTTCTGCCCCCCGGCCTGAGGTGGCCGCCAAGCCTGCCCTGCCAGCCCGAAAGCCCGTGGGGAGCCTCCCCCGGCCAGCCTCCCTGCCTCAGGACTCCAGGCCGGTGGCCACCCCAGAGGAGACCGGCCCGAAGGAACCTCTGTCAAAGGCCAGCAGCGTGGAGGACACGGGAGGCGCCGCCCCGGAGCCGCCCAGGCCTCGCCCGAAGAGAAGGCCCGTGTCGGCCATCTTCGCCGAGTCCATTCAGACTCCGAAGCCAGGCTCCGGCGGGGCGGCCGTGGCAGGGAAGCTGCCCCCCACCCCTCCCGAGAAGACGTGGGTGAGGAGGCCCAGGCCTCTGTCCGTGGACCTCACGGCCCGGTTCGAGAGCAGAGAGGCCTTGGCGAGGAAGGTGGCCGACGAGGCCACGTCAGGGCCCGCCTTCCAGCGGCGGGGACCCGAGAGGCTGGACCCAGAACCCAGGGTGGACAGGGAATGTCTGGTCAAAGCAGAGGCACCTCCACATGACCCGGATTCCGATTTCCTGCAGGTGACCCGGAAGATCCAGGAACGGAAGGAGAGGCTGCTGTCCAAGCCGGGGGAGATGGGCAGCCTCAGAACCGCGGGGGGCCCGGTCAGGGTCACCCCCACCGGTGCCCAGGGTCTCGGCGAGGAGAAAGCCAAGCTGGACGGGGAGCCAGAGAAGGCAGCCAAGGACCCCCAGTCCCCTCTGCCCAGGCCTGGAAAAGGCCAAGACATGGCTGAGGTCAAGAGCAGAGAGGCTGATGGAGAGACCCGGGTCGGGGGAGAGCAGACCCCCAGGGGCGGCGTGAAGAATCGCATTGGCCTGTTTGGGGAGGAGGGCGCCTCAGCCTTGGCAGCGGGGTCTGAGTCCCCACCAGCCACCCCCGAGTCCCCAGCCATCCCGCCGGAGCCAGAGAAAGCGGGCGTGAGCGTCCAGGAGCGGATCAAAGGCTGGGCCACCGAGAGCTCGGAAGCAAAGCCGGAGCTCAGGAGGAGGGCGGTCCAGACACGGCCACTGTCAGCGGACTTGACCAAACTGTGAGTGGGAACACCCCACGGGTTCCCCCCAGCCTCCCACAGCCCCGGCCCCTCACCAGAGACCTCCTCATGAGTAGAAGGATACCGCAGGGCCCCAGGCTCTGTACTGGGCACTCTTGGTACCTGCAGCCCTGAGAGGAAGTGGCGTTAGCTCCCACTTCTCAGATCAGGAGGCTGAGGTGTGGAGGATAGCACCGCTTCACTGTGTGTGCCAGCGGCAGGGCCAGGAGCCCCATTTCTTCCTCCCTTCCCCCTCTTTGCACTTTTTGGAGGTCATATCAAGCCCATTTCACAGATGCGGACAGGAAAGTTGAGGACCATGAGGGAGTCAGGAGCCCCGTGCAACTCCAGCTCAGCCTGTCTCCATAACTAAGCTTTCCTTTCGTAAAGTCCGAGGATACTTCATTTATGGCCTAAACCTCCGTGAATGCCCCCCCGCGCCCCCAACCCAAACAAAATCAGATGGGTCACAATAACTTGAGCGGGTCACTTTCCCTGCCTTGAGCCTCAGTTTCTTCATCTTGTAAAGGGAAATGATGTTAAGACCTGCATTAAAGGATTAAGGCCAGGACTCAGCTCTGGAGATCACTCAGCCCAAGGGAGCCCTGGACACGTTGTGATTATTAATAGTCCCAAATGATTTGATGGATCCCTGTTGGTTAATGATTATTTTCTAAGCAAGGCCTGGCCCCTGACATCTCTTCCTCCTTTGTTTTTCCGCAAGTGGCTTCTCGGCTAAGACAGGGAGACGCCACCGGGGTGTGTCCGCCAGCTCATTAATGGCACGCAAGTCACCGACATAGTTTGTCAGCGATTGAGCTTCCAGGGGGCGGGAGCTTTGGGCAGAGTGCCCTCCCGGCCCTGGGAACCAGGGCGACTAGCTCGGCCAGAGCTGACACCACTGGCTGTCAGCACTTAGAATGACCTGGAAAAAAAATTATCGATGCCTGGCCCCCACCCCCAGAGACTCTGATTCAGCTGATCTGGGGAGGGCTTCTCATCTTGGTTTTTCAAAGTCTCCAAAGTAATTTTCATGTGCAGCCAGGCTTGAGAACCCCTGAATTCAGGAAACAGAGAAAGAGGGACGCTCCCTGGCCATTCAGCAGTTAGGACTCAGCACTTTAGCCAGGTTCAATCCCTAGGCAGGGAGCTAAAATCTTGCAAGCTACATGGCGGGGCAAAATAACAAAGCCAGAAAACAGAGGAAGGGGCACCCTCGTCAGGGCCTCATACACCTCCCCTCCCTGAGTCCCTCCCCCCCCAGTTCCTCAGGTTATCCCCATCTGACAGGTAGGGAAACCGAGGCTCTGGGTTTAGAAACAACTCCTGCACAGCCTCACATGTCTCCGGAGCCAACCCTTGGACTGCTGCCCATGGGTCAAGTTCAAGACGTTTGGTTTGTCTCACCTCCCTCTTCGCTGCAGGCCCCCGACCCTGAACTAATCTTTCAGCCTCTGCTCCAGAGGACTCTGCAGAGATGGGGAAAAGCCCAGCCCCAACTCCCCTTTCTCTCGCTTCGCCTTCACAGCTGGCAGACAGGCCCAGAGAGTGATCAAGACTGGGCCAAGGTCACCCAGAGAGGCAGAGGCAGAGGCAAGCCTGCTCCCCGACGCACTGCCCCGGAGTCCCGCGGTCGGTCTGCGGTGGGGCTGCTGGCTGTTGTGGGGTTGCAGCCATTAATTATCGCTCCTGGGGCATCTTCGCTCCTCTCTCAACACCCTCATGTAGCTATTAAGGCCTTGGGTAGCCTCTTATCTGACCTACAAAGACGATAGGGAGGCGTTAATTATCCCCGTTTTATAGATGAAGAGACAGAGGCTCAGGTGAGGTCACGAGCCTGAGCCCAGCTCCCTCAGTAGGGAGGCAGGAAGGAGAACTGGTGCAAACACCCAGGCCCCTTCCCCGAGCCCCCCCAGCGATGCTATGCTTAAGGTAGGCTCTCTCCCTCCCGGGCCCGAGAGGTTTGGCGACTGGAAAGGACACATCCTATCTTGGAGGAAATGGGGCAGGGTTGCTCTGATGATCTCAGTGCTGCGTTCACCCCTGGGTTCCTGAACTAGTTATGGGGTGTGGGCTGGAGGGAGTCCCAGCTTCTGGCTGCACACAAGTAACTCGGGTCCCTTGTGCCAGGTTTTCAAGTGCAGCTTCAAGCAACGAAGTCAGATATGAGAAGTGTTTGGAGCTGAGCGGTGAGCTTCCCAGAGAACCAAGAGAAAAGGTAAGAAGCCGCTTGGCACTGTCCTTTTTTGGGGGTAGTTATACTTATTGGAAAAAGGGCTTTTACAATCTCGAAGATCCAGGAAAGACTCAGAGACCTCTCGTGGACTATAAGACATTTTTTTTTCCTTTCATAGTCCCTTCCAGTGTGATACACTGTGATACTCTGTCGTGTGTGTGTGTTAGTTGCTCAGTCGTGTCCAACTCTTCGTGACCCCGTAGACTGTAGCCTCACCAGGCTCCTCTGTCCCTGGGATTCTCCAGGCAAGAGTACTGGAGTGGGTTGCAATTTCCTTCTCCAGGGGATCTTCTTGACCCCGGGATCGAACTTGAGTCTGCTGCATTGAAGGCGAATTCTTTACCATCTGAGCCATGAGGGATGCCCCATGATTCACTGTTCCTTGGTGTTGAATACTGTTTGCAAATATAATCATCAGGCGTGAATTTTTGTCTGTGCAAACAGGAGGAGGACATGGCTTTCCTGTGTAAGAATGTCTGCTTTTTTTGAGAAATTAATGAAGATTTTAAAATGTTGGGACGTCCCTGGTGGTCCAACGGCTAAGACTCCCAGCTCCCAATGCAGGGGGCCCGAGTTTGATCCCTGGTCAGGGAACTAGATCCCACATGCTGCAACTGAAGATCCCGTGGGTCACAACTAAGACCTGGCGCAGCCAAATTAAAAAAAAATTTTTTTTTTAAATGCAAATAGAGGGTTTCACTGGTGGTTTAGTGGTAAAGAATCCGCCTGCCAATGCAGGAGACACAGATTCGATCTGTGATCCGGGAAAATCCCACATACCTTGGAGCAACTGAGACCACGCACCATGAGTATTGAGTGTGGGCCCTAAAGCCCATCCTCAGAGACGAGACGCCGCCCCAGGGAGAAGCCTGTGCGCCGCAGCTAGAGAGCAGCCCCCGGGCGCCAAAACTAGAGAAGAACCCACATAGCCATGAAGACCCAGCACAGCCAAAAATAAATAAATAAAAATGGAAAAATGTTAATAGAAACCCCCTCAACTTCCCCTCATTATGGCCCCAGCTCCTTTCCCCACCCCCTCATTTGTCAGCTGGGAGAAGAAGGAGAAAAAATCACCAACCATTAAATTGCTTAGAAAGTATTTTCAGTTAGTCTGATTAATTTTTTTAAAAAAAGCTCATAAAATAACTGCTGGGTATCATGGGTTTGTGATTGATGCTTTCTGAAATTTCAAGTTTTTCTTTTATTTATTTACTTATTTTTATCAATTGGAGGACAATTGCTTTACAGTGTTGTGTTGGTTTCTGCCACACGTCAGTCTGAATTGGCCTTAAGTACATCCACATATCCCCTCCCTCTTTTTTTTTCACACTGAAACACATGATTTATCATTCACACGGAAGTCAGTAGCCAGAGCATCACTGTGCTGCCCGTCCCCTCCCTCTTAAAGCTCCCTCCCGCCTCCCCCCCCAACCGATCCTACCCTTCTAGATTGTCACAGAGCACTGGTGTGAGCTCAGTTTTTTCTTGAACAGCTTTATTGAGGTATAACAGACATAGAGTGAACTGGACGTGTTTAAAGTGTAAAAGCAGGTGAACTCTGACTTCTGTGTACATCTGTTGAACCATCATTACCATAAACACAGTGGACATTTCCGGCACCTGCAAGTTTCTTCTTTGTAATTCCCCCCAACTTGCCCCCTCCTCCTCCAAAGCAACTACCAATCTGCTTTCAGTCACTATAGATTCATTTGCATTTTCTAGATTTTTATATAAATGGAACCAATGCTCTTTTCTGGGGGGGTCAGATTGATCGATATCATATCTACATGCATGTATGTATATACATGCACCCACACCTACAGTGCTTTAAAATGGTATTTCATTATAAATACGTGGTTCCTCCATCTGCTTTTCTTCCATCAACACAACAGCGTTTTAAGTGTCCTTAGATCTTAGGACATTGGGAGCCATCCCCTCTCTGTGGGTCCAAGTGCCTGTGTGGCAGTCAGCTGTTTGCATGTATCAAAATGTATTTAGCCCTTCAGATGGGCTCTAGGCTCTTTTGTTTCCCTGGCAGTTCTGTACGACCTTTCTTGTTCACGTAGACTTGTGCACGTGGGCCAGGCAGGGATTCTGGGAGGACACTGGCCAGGTGAAAGGAGATGAGTGTCTTAACATCCCAGCAGAAGCGCTGAACTGCTCAGGAGCCACGCCCATTTGTCTTCTCACCAACGGGGGCCGGGAGTGCCTGTGTTCCCTCCCCGGCTGTGTTCAGTCTGTGAGACTGGATGGTTTCTCACTGCTGTGATTTTAAAAGCAGCCTTTTCACTCCCCTCACCTCTTCCTTCCCACTTCAAATCCTTTGACTTAGATTGGATTGTTTTGGTACTTCCCTGGCAGTCCAATGGGCAAGACTTCACCTTCCAGTGTAGGGGATGCCCGTTTGATCCCTGGCTGGGGTTCGGGGGGGCTAAGATCCCATACTCCAAATAACCTGAAGTATAAAACAGAAGCAGCATAGTAACAGATTCAGTAAAGACTTAAAAAATGGTCCACATCAAAAAAAACTTTATTGAATTTGTTATAATGTTGTGGCAAACCTTTACAAATAAATATCAAAAAAAGTTTCTTCAGTCTTTAAAATTAAATAAATAAATTGGATTGTTTCTTTTTGTTGTTGTTTTCCCAGCCAAAGGACAGGCATGGCGTGGAGGGAACATCCGTCACAAGAAGCCCATGGAAGCCTGGTCCACCCCCGGAGAAACCCAGGCTGACAGAGCGGAAAGGCAGTTCTGACCGCGTTCCCGACGGCGCTCGGGGTCACAGCGCGGTGGGGGCCCGGAGCCCTTCCGAGGGCACCCCGGATGATGACGGAAGCTTCCAGACCGTATGGGCCACGGTGTTCGAGAATCACGTGGAGAAGCACACCGTGGCTGCCCCCTCGGGACGCAGTCCCTGGGCCACGACCCCCAGGGACCTGGCCGACGTCTCCGAGCCCAGATCCAGGCTCCTTGGACCCAGAAGCTCTTTCCCGCAAAGCACAGCCCTGAAGCGGGAGTGGCTGGAAGATCCTGACCTGGGGCGAGGCGGAGGGACCGCCTTCTCCAGCTGCGAGCCCAGACAGCATCGCACGTCCTCCCTGCTGGGGAGGCATCCTGGGGGCGAAAAGGGCAGCCATCACCCCTTCCTCAAGCTCCTGGAGAGCGCCCCCGCGCCCGAGAGGGTTGAGCCCAGGTACGACGTCGTGCATGCCGTCGGGGAGCGCGCGCACAGTGAGGCCGTCCCCACGGCACCCGAGGAGAAGGCCCTGACGCTCCGCAGCGGCCGGTCTCGGCCCCTGCTGTCCCAGGAGGTCACCCATGCCGTGACTCCCGCCGACCCCAGGTGTAGGCCGGAGGGCCAGGTGGGGTCCGTCCAAAGGGCCAGTTTGATCTGGGAAGCCCGGGGGACTCGTGAGATCAGTGGGCCGAAGCCCGAGTTCCACCGAGAGCCTAAGGACACACATGGAGGCAGCTGCCCGTCAGCCAGATGGACGGGTGGGGCGGCCGTGAGCTGGCATAAAGCCACCGTGGGGCTCAGCGAAGGGAGAGGCGCCGAGCCGAGCCCCGAGGCCGCCTCTGCGAGGACCGTCCTGGACGCCCAGCACCCGGGGACCGAAGGGGCCGGGATCCAGACGGAAGAGAGGGCTTCGTCCCGGGGGGCGCCTCCGGAGCCTCTTCCCAGGGCCAAGGATGAAGCTGATGACTCCCGAGTGCGGCCTCAGGCAGAGGTGCCGGGGCAGACGGGGCCCTTGGCCGGGGCTGGAAGCCACGAGCCCGAAGCCAGGAGGCAGAGGGCCAGCCCCAGCGACCAGAGGCCAGACAGATGGAGGCGGCGGACCCTTCCCCATGATGTGAAGTTCGACGAGTTCAGCCTCCTGCCCCCAGAGCACGCGTCCAGGGCGGAGCCGAGAGGGGGGGACCACCTGAGCCCCATGGCCACGGGTGCCTCAGGAAGGCCCCAGCTACTCCCGGGTCAGGAGGGGACCCGGCAGGGGAGCCCAGGTGCGTCACTGGACCAGGTTCTTCCTGCAGCAAAGCAGGGGTCGCCTGTGGAACCCAAGGCGACCTTTTTTGCTGTGACCTATCAGATCCCTGACACTCAGAAAGCCAAGAGCGTGGTTAGGCCCGGGACTGAAAACTGGACAGAACCTTCTAGAAAAGCAGCCCCACCCCCATCCCCTCTCTCTTTCACCCCTACCTTGGTTTCTCTGAACCGTGAAGAGCCGCTGGAGACCATGGGTGGTATAAACCGAGCCCCGGGCAGAGAACATGAGCATGCAAGCTTTCCAAAGCCTCCGAGGCCGACAGAGCATCCGACGTCTCTCGGGGACAGGATTCTGGGTCCCCCTGGTGAGAGGATCTCCGACGCCGATGCCGTGTGGGTTCGTCGGGTCCCGGAAGGCAGCGGCGGTTTTCAGAATGGCTGGAAGGATAGCGGGAGCAAGAGGTCCCCTGGCGGCTCTCCCCAAACACCACCGGCTTTCAGATGTCCCCCGAAAGCCAGCGAGCTCCTGGTCCGAAGGAAGACGGAAGCCATCAGTGAGACGTTCCCAGGTAAAGCTAAGGCCGGCTACAGGTCCAGCGTCCTCGATATCGATGCGCTGATGGCTGAGTATCAGAGGCCGCCGGCTGGAAGCCCGCGGGAGGCTCAGGACTGGATGGCGGGTCCGCCCGCAGAGCTCTGGGGCTCGGACCCTGAGAGGCCTGGCCCGCAGGGCGAGGCGGATCAGAGACGGAGGAGCCTAAAGGAGCGCCCTGAAGCTGAGGCTCCCCAGAGACAGGCTGGTTTTGCTGAAACCAACCCCGGTTCCACTCGCGGCTCAGGCAAGTGCCTGGCAGAGACGCCGGGGGCAGCCACGCACAAGGTCAGCTCTCCCCTCTGGGGCCCGCCCCACTCAGCTCCTCCTGAAAAGTATCCAGGGGCCTCTTCCGGCCCCGCCACCGACCCCAGGAAAAAAGGCCTGGGGATCCCTGAGGATGAGAAAAAGACATTTGTTAGTAAACATCACAGTGTGAAGTGCCAGCATCCCCCGGCCGAGTCAAAGCCCACCCCTGCCTGGGAGGACCCAAGCGGCGGGGCCAGGGTGCAGCCCAGGGCGTCCCCCGCTGACCAGAGGAAAGGGACCCCGAGGAAACCCCCGGGCAGGGGCGAGGAGAGCGGGGTGGCCCCGTGGGCCGACCACCCACGGGACTTCGGAAGGTTGCCGCTGGATGTCAAGAGGGCCTGTTCGGAGAAAGGCCCCCCTCTCAAAATCCGAGAGGGCCTGTCCATCATGCAGGAAGCCAGAGAGAGGAGGCAGGAGCAGCCCAAAGGGAGGCCCAGCCTCCCCAGGGAGAGTGCGGAGGCCAGAGACACCAAGATGGGGCTCTGTCGGCAGGAGTCGGGGAATCGAGACAGTCAAAAGGTGAGTACGCCGGTTAAACATGCAGGCCAGAGGCCTCAAACTCAGGACCAAGGCGGGCCTGGTGGCCCTGGGGATGAGTGGAGTCAGGCAGGGTGTGAGGTGCTAGGGAGTGGTAGGGCTTGTGGCAAATGGGGCGCTCAAGCCATCTCTGAAGGGACCTTTGCACAGTCCCGGCTGGTTCTCAACAAGCGGGGAAAGGGGTCCTGAGACGGCAGATCCGATTTATCGAGAGAATGAAAGATCCACATTTTGGCCAGTAGTCCCCTCCCCGATCATGAAATGGGGCAACATATTAAAAAAAAAAATTGCTTTTTAGTTCAAACAAAACTTGTCTGCCGGCTCTGTATACGGCCTGTGGGTTATCAGTTTGAAACCCCTGGCCTAGAATGATGATCTAGGTATCCTTTATTGAGCGCCTGCTGTTTTCCAGTATACTGCACCAGGTCCATCATTGTATCCGCAGACTCCAGTACCATGCCTGACGTTTTGTGATCATTCAGAGAGTAGTTGCTGAGTGAATGATCTTACATGAGCCTCAGGACAATCCACGAAAGAGGGATTGTTGTGGTTTGGGTTTCTCCAAAAGCAGCCGCCTGCGGGTTGTTTTAGGAGGTGATTCCAGAGGAACTGGGCGGGGGGAGAAGTGAGGCAGGGAAGGGAAGGCAGGTGATAAAGGTGTGGGCACCTGAGGCTTGTTCTTACTGGAGACCCCCGCACAGGTCACCTCTGAGCAATCCTGTCCAGGGGTCAGGGGACCGGTAGCATTTGTTTCTTCATTTCCCTCTGTCCTCGCCTGAGGCTGTGTCTGGGCTGTTAACATTTAGATTCCTGGTGCCATGCTCAGTGGCGGAGAGGAAAATCCTCTCGCAACACTGGCGCATATTTGAGTGTCTGGCAGAGTGTTGGGCAGGGCGCCCATAGCGTCTGCTGCAGGTGCGATCGTCTTGTTCAGAAGGGGAAAAGAAAAACAAGGCTCAGAGAGGTTCAGTAACTTATCCCGCGTCACACAGCACCAGAGCGGCACAGCTAGTGTTTGCTCACAGGTCTGGCCTCATACCTGAGCCCTTGGGATCACGAAAGTGGGGAAGAAATCTGAGGCATGGAGTCGGCCGCTGGGAAGCTTTGATCTCTGTGCAGAGGTCGGAGAGAAATGGGAGGTGAGCGCATCCTTGGTAGGAGCACAGTGTGGGCAAAGGTCCAGAGGTGAGGGAAAAAACCAGTCTGCTCTGTGGCCAGTGTGGAAACTGACTTAGGGCCCCTTCAGGTCAACCCCCGCTTCCAACCTAGAAAAGGGAAGTTGTGGGAATTGAGTGATAGGAGAAGTCACCTGAGGTTCAGAGTGGCTTTGAACCCACGTCTCTTCCAGGGACCACATTCGGGCTTGCGTTGGAATCTCTGCTCTGCCACTCAACAGGCTCCGCTGTGTGCAGAGCAGGCACCGGCTTCCCCCGGCCTCCGTTTCACCCCCTCCGGAGTTAGGAGTCAGTGAGGCCCCGCACTTGGCGGGGAGGAGATAAAGCACCCAGCATGGGCGGGTGGGCAGTGGGCTCCACAGGCCCTGGGCTCTGCAGACGCGCTGAGGGTCTCACCTCCCCCGCCGCCTCCAGGCTGCTGTGGGAGCCTGCAAGAGGGAAGAGGCCGTGGAAACGTGACACTTCATCCGTGAGCCAGCGCCTGGCTCAGGGGCCTGGCGGAGGGGCCCCCGGCCCAGCCTTGGACGCCCGCCCAGGGTGCCGGGGCCCCAGGAGCGCTTGTTGTCAGGGGATCCGTTTTCTCACCAAGGGGACTGGGAAGCCTTGGACCGGCTCCCCGTTCCTCTTCTCTCCTGCCCGAGGATCTTGGGTTCTTGACATTTAAAAAATAAATAAGGGCAATACCGAAGGACAAAATGTTGGCTGTTGAAGATTCAAACCCAGGTAGCTCAGTGGTAGAGAATCCACCTACAATGCAGGGGGCCCGGGTTTGATCCCTGGGTCAGGAAGATCCCTTGGAGGAGGAAATGGCAACCCACTCCGGTGTTCTTGCATGGAAATTCCATAGATAGGAGCCTGGCGGACTACAGCCCATGGGGTCGCAAAGAGTCAGACACGACTGAGCACATACGAGCACACCAGCGTATAATGTGTGTAAAAGCGTGTCCTCCCTTTCCTTTCCCGTTTCCCCAGATGCAGACACGGTTAGGGTTCTTGATCTCCTTGGAGACTTTCGGATGCTCTAGAGTGGCTTATAAATCAATATATGTATTGATTTTATAATTGTGTTTTTCTTCTTGCAAGGATAGTGAATGCTTGGGCAAGATTTTAAACGTCATGGAAACATCAGCTTTGGGATGGAAAGGTCCCCCAAATGCGGAGTCTGGTATGCTGGGACCCACCCCTCCAACCCTGTTGGTGGTTCTCGGCCATTTGGACAGCTGGGCTCCTAGGGCATGTTTGGCGACGTTTCAGGCATTTTTTGTTGTCACAACCAGAGGAGAGTTTGCCGCTGGCATCTCGGTGGGTAGAGACCAGGGAAGCTCCACCACCTCCTACAATGCACAGGACAGCTTCCAGCTCAGAGACTCCTGCAGCCCCGAGTGTACGACGTAGTTTCCAGGCTGAGGGACCCTGGTCCAAGCACAGATCGGTCAGTGCACCCTGTCCTATGGAAGCAAGGCAGCATTCTACAGAAAATCTCACAACTTGCTTTCTTCTTTCCCCATACATTTAAACTTTTTTAAAAAAAAATGCTTTGTACAATTTTTTTAAAGATTACTGTTGGCTTGCAGTTATAACAAAATATTGGCTACATTCCTCGTGTTGTCCATTATGTCCTTGAGTCTGTCCTACACCCAATAGTTTGTGCCTCCCCTTCCCCTACCCTTATGGTGCCTGCTCCCTCCTGCCATCCACTGGTAATCACTAGTTTTCTCTATATCTGTGAGTCTCCTTCTTTTTGGTTATATTCACTGGTTTGTTGAATTTCTCAGATTCCACATATAAGTGATATCATAGGGTATGTGTCTTTCTCTGTCAGACTTACTTCATTAAGCCTGATACCCTTCAGGTCCATCCTTGCTGTTATAAATGGCAAAATTTCGTTCTTTTTAATGGCTGAGCAATAGTCCCTGTGTGTGTCTGTGTGTGTATACACACATATGTAGCACATCTTCTTTATTCATTCTGTTGATGGGCACTTAGGTTGTTGCTTCCATAGCTTGGCAGTTATAAATGGTGCTTCTAGAAATACTGGGGTGCAGGTATCTTTTTGAGTTAGTGTTTTTTCATATATACCCAGATAGTGTGCTTTCAAAAATTCAGCAGTAAGAAACAGCGCGTCCATCATCACCTTATTATTTTTAATGGCTGCAAAGCTGTTTGTTATGTGACTGAGCCCAAGCTTTTATTTATCAAGGCTCTCGCAGATGTACGTTTGGGTTGATTTGAGTTCTAAGACCCCACTGAGTGTCTTGAGGTACATGTCTTCTTCCTGGGGTGAAGATTTCTTGATTGACAGCCAGTTCTGCTCACGGACGCCCCCCATGGGGTGTGATTGCGATTAAGGTGATTCCTCCTTTCCTCTCTTACCCTCACTCCCTCTTTCTTTCTTTTTTTCACTTAACATTTATCAAAACTTTGTCCCAGGCACAGTTATAGTGTTTCCTTTCATCAAATGGTTTATTTTCGTTTCAAGAAAGAATAGTTTCAGGTACGTGCGTGCTGAGTCACCTCAGTCGTATCTGGCTCTTCTGGGCACCAGGGACGCTGGGAGGGCCCAGTCCACCAATTCAGTCGGTTCCGTCCATCAGCAGCCACTAGCCACGCGTGGTTCTCTCAGTGTAAGTCAGTTAAAACTAAGTAAGACCCCAGATGCAGTTTCTCAGTCACACTGAACGCATGCAAGTGCTCCAAAGCCACAAGTGGCCTATGGCCGCTGCCCGGGGAGCCCAGATGGAGAACATCATCTTGGTCACAGGACGTTCTAGCAGACAGCGCTGCTCCAGACGAGTGAGGGGGCGGGATTGTTCAGAGAGTGGTAAGTCCTGGGGAGACAGAGTAACCTCCCTGGTGCCCCCTTTTTCTAAGGGGGTGACCCGACAGAAGCCATGGGAGTGATGGCGGGACCCCAGGCAGGCCAGGATCTGCAGAGAGGACGTGGAAGCAGCAAGTGGAGACACCCCAGCATGGGGATGAGTGGTCCTGTGGATGCTGGGGGCACACCAGTGGGCTCCGGGGGTGATGGCCAGACCTGAGCTGGAGAGGTGAGGATGGACCAGAGCTTAGGGGAGCCTCCGAAGGGTTCTGAGTGCTGCTTCCACTGTCTGTGTCTCAGAGAGACCCCCCGACTGCTCTCTGGGTGAGGGTGGAGGCAGGGAGGCCCGTGAGGAGGCTGCCACGGTCCTCCGACAGGAGACAGGGCTTGTACTGGGTGGTGGTCGTGGAGGGGTTAGCCACTTCTTTTTGAGGGGATGGTAGCAACTTTGTTGTTGCTGTCTACTGGCTAAGTCCTGTCCGACTCTTTGTAACCCCACAGACTGTAGCCCGCCAGGCTCCTCTGTCCATGGGATTTCCCAGGCAGGAATACTGGAGTGGGTTGCCATTTCCTTCTCCTGGGGATCTTCCCATTCCAGGGATTGAACCCAGGTCTCCTGCACTGGCAGGCGGATTTTTTTTTTTTTAAATCACTGAGCCACCAAGGAAGCTGGGTAGCAGCTTTGAAAGTGAAAATTTAGTCGCTTAGTCGTGCCCGACTCTTTGTGACCCCATGGACTGTAGCCTACCAGCCTCCTCCGTCCTTGGGATTTTCCAGGCAAGAGTGGGTTGCCATTTCCTTCTCCAAGGTAGCTGCTTTACTGAGATAGAATTTTCATGGCCCATGCAAGAACTCATTTATTTGTTTGACATTTATTCTTTGCTTATTTGACTGTGCTGGATCTTAGTTTTGGCATGTGGGATCTAGTTCCCTGACCAGGGATCGAACCTAAGCCCCCTGCTTTAGGAGCTCGAAGTCTTAGCCAGTGGACCACCAGGGAAGTCCCTGTTCACCCATTTGAAGCGTACAGTTAATTTAATGACTTTTAGTCTAGTCACAGAGCTCTGCAACCATCATCACATTCAGTTTTAAATATCTTCATTACCCCTTAGAAAGCCCTGTACCCACTGACCAGTCACTGCCTGCTCCCCTAATACCTTCTAGTCCCGATTAGCCATTCACCTACCTTCTGTCTATAGATTTGCTCACCTCTTTCACTTGTCTATAGATTACTCACCTCTTTCACTTGGCATAGAGTTTTCAAGAGCCATCTGTTTTGTAGTGTATATCGGTACTTCCTTTTCATGGCTGAATGATATTCTGCAGGATCGATCCATCCCGTTTTATCTATTCATTCATCAGCATTAGGCATATCTGGGTTGTTTCCAACTCTTTGACTATCATGGAGAAGGCTGCTATGAACGTTTATGTACGAGTTTTTGTGTGGACATGTGCTTTCATATCTTTGGCTGTCTCCCTGGGAGAGGCATTGCTGGGTCACATGGTAATACCTCCAGTTTTTTCCTTTGAGGGGCTGCCATACTGTTTTCCAAAGCAGCCGCACCATTTTACATTCACACCAGCAGTGTGTGAGGGTTCTAATTTTTCTCCATCCCAACTGACATTTGTTATCATCCATCTTTTTGATTCTAGCCATCTTAGTGGGTATGAAGTGGTATCTCAGGGTGGTTTTTTTTTTAATTGAGATATAATTGACATGTAATGTTAGAGTAGTTTCAGATGTACGGTGTAGTGATTCAGTATTTGTATATATTGCATAATCATCATTGCGGTTTTGATTTGCATTTCCTGTTGGAGCATCCTGTAATGTGCGTATTGGCCATTTGTGTACCTTTTCGGAATAATGTCCATTCACACCCTTTGTCTATTTTTAAGACCATTTGTCATTTTATTATTGAGTTGTAATTATTCTTTGTACTTTCTGGATACAGGTGCCTTATCAGACATAACGGTTGGCAGGAATGTTCTCCCATTCTGTGGGTTGTCTTTTCACTTTATTTCATTGTTTTCACTTTCTTAACAGTGCCCTTTGAAGCACCAAAGGCTTTTCATTTTGATGTAGTCCAATTTACTTTGCTTTTGGTGTTCGAGCTTCTGGTGTTCTATCTAAGAAACCCTCGCTTAATCCACGAAGGTCAAGAAGATACAAGCGTGTATTTTCTTCTAAGAGTTTTCTCCTTTTGGCTGTGACATTTAGGTCTTTGATCTGTTTTGAGTCGACTTCGACGGTCTGTGATGTGGGGTTGGCAGCATGTTTTGAAGGCAGAGTCGACCGGATGGAGAGAGAGGGGAGATAGAGGACGACCCGAGGGTCTTGGCCTGCCCAGCTGGTGACTGGTGATTGGAGGGGGAGAATCTGGGGGCCTGTTTTGGGCACATGAAGTCTCAGACCAGCGTGGGGGTGAGCAGAGATGGTCAGCGGGCAGTGGGATCTGCAAGTCCAGAGTCCCAGCATGGCGAGACAGCGTCCAGATGGGATTTATTGAAGCCATGGGGCATGACGAGAAAGCAGTGCAGCACGCACTGATGGAGCAGGAGAGCGGGCCGTGAGGCTGGCCTGGGTCACGCCTTGACATGTTCCTCTGAGAGGAGACGCACGGGGGTGGGGGAGGAACAGCCCTTGAGGTCGGAGGAGAACCAGAGGGTCTCATAAGACGTCACAGAAGAGGCTGTGAGGCAAGGAGTCAGCCTTGCCCTTGGATCATGCTGTGTGTTCTTAAGCAGATGCCTCCCCTGCGCCGGGAAGATCCCCTGGAGAAGGAAATGGCAACCCACTCGGTACCCTTGCCTGGAAAATCTCATGGACGGAGGAGCCTGGTAGGCTATAGTCCATGGGGTTGCAAAGAGCTGGACACTACTGAGCGACTTCATTTTCGTTTCACTTTCCCCTCCCTGGGCCTTTCTTTTCTTGTCGGTGCAGGGACAGTGTGAGGCCCGTAAAATGCACCCTCCAGAGTCCCATGTTTACTGGCTTGTGGCGGTATAGGGGGATACATACAGGATATATACAGGGGGGTATATAAAAATAACAAGATTCACACCAGCGCACCTACTCCATCGTATCTGTGTATCGGTTCTCGCTGTATCTGCGCACATGTGCACGTGCGTTCGGGTACATGGAAAGATGTCTATCACGGGGCCGCCAGAAGTTACCAGTGGCTGGCGTTCACGGTGGGCCCCTCACGCGCGGGGCGGGGGATGGCAGGGACGGGGAGGCTCCCGGGTCTCACGCATGTCCGCCCCCTGGTGGCACCTCCGAGTTCACACCCTTTCCAGTCGCTGGTCCTCTTTTGGTTCAGCCCTGAACGTAGAAGGTGAGGACTGTTGTTATGGATCTTTCCCCGCATGGTGATGGATCAGAGAGGTTAAGGCACTCACCCGAGGTGACACAGTTATGAAGTGGCTGAGGCTGGGCTGAACCCAGACCTGCTGATCCCATATGTGACGCCCCCACCCCCATCATTTGAGGTGGACCACCCACCAAGGATGTGGGGCAGGGGTGAGCAGAGGTGGGCATCGGGCACTTTAATTTTCTCCTTTGCCCTTTGAGGTGCAGCATGGCCCCTCTCAGTGTGACATATTCTTCCTGCCAAAGGGGAAGCCCCAGTCAAGTTTCTTCTTCTTGTGTCTCCTGCATCTCAGATGTCACCGAGGGACCTGGGGAGGGAGCGTGCCCTCCTGGACAATGAGCCTCCACGCCGGCAGGTGAGCCCCGCAGCCGCGGGCCCCCGGAGGAGCCACAGCTTCTGCAAGGACAGGAGGAGCGGGCCCTTTGTGGTGAGTGATGCCGGCATGGCCGGAGCGGACACTGCTGGGGACGTCCCAGGCTGGTCCCAGGGCGTGAGGGGGGCGAGGGTGGGCCGGTGACCGTCCGGGAGCCTGCTGCGGCCTGGCTGGGCCCTGGCTCGTGTCGTGACAGGAGACGGTGTTTAGCGGCTCTCCCGGGGAAGCCTCCTCTCTGGTGGGTTTCTGGCCCCCTGTGGAGGGGCAGCCCCTGGTATCTGGCACCGTGAGGTTAGAACAGGCCCTGGAGTCTTGAGAGCCCTGGGTTCGCATCCCGGCACCACCTCTGCTGCTTTGAACAACTCGATTAATTCCGCTGCACCTCAGTTTGATCACCGGGAAAACGGGACTGTGATTCCTGTCTTTCTTGTGCTGTTGGGAGGATGGTATGAGATTGTGTGGAGCCCAGCGCGTCGTAATTCAGACAGTAACCAATGGTGTGGTGATGACGGGAAGACGGCAGCATTGGGCTGGTTCTGCAGCTGGATTGCGTGGATTCATTCACATCCTGGCTCTGCATGGAGCTGGGTGTCTGACCTCGGTTTCCTCATCTATAAAATGGGTATAATAATAGCATCTACTTCACAGGGCTGATGTGGGACTCAGATAACTCGAGAAGTGTTTCACTTGGTCCTAGGCACACAGTAAACACTTTAATAAGTGTTATGTTACCATTATTATTATTGTTGTTGTTGTTGTTGTTGCTTTCGTGTATCCTTTTAGCTGTCACTGAGCTCCCTCCGTAGCCAGCACTTCTTCCCTCTCTGCCTGATTCCTCACTTGTGAAAGGAGGTGGGTAAATGAGGCAGCAGGACCCCGGGGAAGCCCCCTCCTGCCCAAGCCTCAGTGTCCCCAGCTGCGTTCCAGGGCTTCACCACCTCTGATTTTCCGTGATTTGCTTTTTTCTTTTTTTTGCACTTTTGTTCTATGATCCTTGGAGATGTGCTGAGCTCTGCACTTCCTGCTAAAGTCCTTCCCAGGCCCTGGGCCCTGCTTGGGGACATCTGAGATAAGCCTTTTTAAATGAGCAACACCAGTTCCACACCCAAGGTCATTCTGAGTTGCAGGACTCCGTGCATTTTAGTGGTCATCTGTGCCTGGTCCCATGTCTCAGAGACGTGGGACCCAGCAGTATTGACATCCGAGGTCCATTCCTTCTAGCTTGGTGACCACCGGCAAGAAACTTCACTTCTCTGAACCTCTGTCTCCTCCTCTGTAAAAGGGGGTGAAGATGCTGCTCCTGGCAGAGTTCTTGCCAAGACTTGACATGAGGCTGGAGGTGACCTCGCCTGTGAAGGGACTCAGACCTTGGCTGAGAAGCCCCAGAAAATTCACAAGTGTCCAAATCTCTGCTGCTGATTTCTTTTTCACCTTTGTCTCCATTCCCTCTCAGGCACTGACTCAGCTTATCTGATTGTGTTTGTGTGTGTGTGTGAGAGAGAGAGAAGGCAAAGGTTATGGAGGGAACAGCATCCCGGTCGAAGTCTCTGCTTGCTGGCCCCTCTTCTTTCTCCGTGGAGTCCTTGGATGGCTTTCCTTGGCTCCTTCCCTCTGGCCCCAGAGGCCTCTGCCCCATTGTGGTCTGTTTGATCACCTCTCCCCCGGAGGCGTCCAGGTCTGGGTACTGAGCCTGAACCAGACAGAGCTGAGGCCTCAGACCTGGGTTCCTGGCTTCTGGGACTGAGGCCTACAATTCTGGGGCGTGACCACCAGGAGGCGGTGGTGGTGCACTCGCTTTCTGATGCCTCCACAGTCCTGACTAGGGGGACTTCAGCACTGGGGCTCTGGGGCTCTGGAGGCTGGAAGAAGTGGGTTCAAGTTCTGGCTTTGGCACTCTGTGACCTTGGGCAGGTGACTTGATGGGCCCCAATGAGCCTGTTTTTGCTTCTGTAAAATGAGGATGGTCCTAAGTGGCCTCAAGAGTAGTTTTGTGGGTGGGAAGTGAAGTCGCTCCGCGCTCAGAAGAGTAAACTCCCACTTCGCGGCTTGGCGGCTGGGATGGCTGTTCCTTCTTCTCCTCCACTTCCCTTGCCCTTCTTCCCCCTCCTCCCCACTCCCCCTCCTCCTCACTCCCCCTCCTCCCCACTCCCCCTCCTCCCCTCCTCTCCCTCTTCCTCACCTGGGCCAACTCTCTTATTATGAACAGGGAAGTTGAGGCCCCCAGAGGGGCAGCCAGGGCAACCCTGCAGGTGACGCCTGGGGTCCCTGAGCCCCCCTTGGCCCGGATGGCCGCCCGGCCGCTCTGGAGGTCAGAGATGGTCAGAGCTGTGCTTTGCACCCTGTGGGGTATTTGGAGAGCCTCTCACTAGTGGATAAACGCCGTCTGCTGTTACTTCCGTCACTCTTTTGATTGATGACTTTGTTCTGTTGGTTTCCAATTGAGATTCAGGTGCATCTCCCTTTTTTGAGCCTGTGCCCCAGGCCTTGTCAATCCCCAGTCCCCGTCTCTTCTCAGGAAATATGAATCCCATTTTGCAGAGGAGGAAACTGAGGCTCAGAGAGGTTAAGCCGCTTGCCTCAGGCCACACAGTCTGAAAGCGGGGGAAGCTGGAATGGACACTGGGCCTATTTCGCCTCCAGCCTTGGTCCCGGACCCTTTCTGCTTCGGCACTGTGCTTATGGCTCAGGCCAGGCTGCCAGCCTCTCACCTCTTGAGCCTGCAGTGCTCGGGACATTCGCTCACAAGGAAACATGACACCCGACCAAGCCCCTGGGCTGAGAATGTGACATTTGCCCTGCACAGGGTTGGCCACAGTCCAAAGGGTGCCTGGGACACACCAGAGCTGATGCCCTGCTGATCTCTAGAGCCCCACCCACCCCTGACTGGTCAGACCCTGGGCATGAAGTCAGACTGGTCCCAGCCAGCTGCTTCAGAGAACTCACCGTTCCAAGCCTCTCTTTTCCTCCTCTGTAAAGTGGTGAATCACAGAAATGAGAATACCCACCGTGGTGCTTACTGTGGGGCATAGACACTAGTTTATTCCCGTTTTGCAGGTGGGATAACTGAGGCTCAGCACCAGTTAAGTACCTCTGCCAAGGTCTGAGTCTGGAGTCCAGGCTCTTAATCACCTGCCCACCCTTCCACTACTCTGACATCGTGTGGTGGGAGGACGGGGCTGAAACAAGATGGTGCTTATAAAGCGCTCAGCACAGCACCTGGTGGAGAAGGAGCTGCCTGATAGATGTACCTGCTGTTAATTATGCTTTTGCTGCCAGTTGTTTTTATTCCCCTACATTCTCTTTGAATATCTACTGATAGAACAGGAAGTTGTCTCTAATCTTAGGAGTTGTTGGCTGTTGAGGAAACGCGGCAGGGGAGGGGGCGGTGTTCGACCCAGGGTCCCAGAGCGGCCTGGCTGGGCTGGGACTGGAGTTCTGACTCTGTGGCCAGGGTTCTGTTCTCCCTGGTCCCCTGCTGCTTTCAGGGGCACCCTTAGGACCTCAGGTCTAGGTGGCAGGTCTGAGTCCCGTGCACAGTCTCCTCCTTCCCCCCTCTGGGGGTGGTGGTGGGTGGGCGCGCCCACTTTTCCTCGTGAGGTGAGCCTTTGGCCCGCGCCTGCGGATCATAAAACACGGTGACTCAGTCTTGGACCGTGGCCTCGAGGCTCGTTTCACCCCGGAGGCCCCTCCTGTGGCCGTGAGGGCACAGATTCTCCCGCTCTGGGGGTTCCCTGTGATGGGGCAGGCAGGCGGGCCTCTGGGAACCTCAAGAATGTTCTCTCCAATCCCCAAACCCGTCCGTCTGCATTTGCCGGCTCATCTGGTGATGAATTCACCCTGTCGTGGGCCTGCCGTGTGCCAAGGAAGGGAAGGGAGGCGGAGGTGCATGGACTGGTCAGGTGGGAGCTGGCCCAGCGGACAGAGGGGCCCCTCGGCCTGGGTGAGTCCGGACGATGGACTCGCCCTCGGGGCATGATGTGGAGCCGAGTGCTGAGGAACCGGCCGGCAAGCGGGACTCCCAGGCAGCCCAGGGGTCCTCTTGGCAGGTGGCTAATTTCATTTGTCAATTGCTTCTTGTCTTTCACTGCTGAGCCCGACAGGACTGGAGAAGAACTGAGTAATTTATATCTCAGCCGATTAAAGTTTCTCTTCGGGATTAAAACCAGCCAGACCAGAAAGCTTTTGTTTCCTAGGTCTTAACATGCAAATGATCAGTTGTGCCTGAGATTTTTGTATTGGGGAGATTTTGTGTTTATCCAATTACCCAGCTGTCTCTCCACCCACCCGCCCACTCACCTACCCTCCCACCCACCCACCCACCCATCATCTACCGACCCTCCCACCCAGCCATCCTCCACCCAGGTTTTAATACATGCAAAGCTCTGCAGGTACAAAGACGCACAAGTTAACTTGTCCTCAGATTGCTCCCGTCCTTAGACCGTAAACCCAGGACGACACTGACTGGCCGTCTGTTGATTTCGTCACTCCCTCAACGTCTTGAGCAGCAGAAACGGGTTGAGTACCTACTGCGTGTCACGGGCTTTTTGGTCCTTGAGATGCAGCAGTGAACCTTGATGTGGTTCCTGCCCGCCCGAAGCTAATACTCTGGTGTGGGGAGAACGTGGGCTTTTCCAGGAGCTTTCAGGCATGCGCACGCGGACAAGACCCCGCTGAGAAGCACCCTCAGGGTTAAAATAAGGGGCACCCGTGATTTCACCTTGGAGGAGCCGAGGAAAGGTGTGACTCGGGCTGTAGGTCAGAGATGCAGCTTGGGGTGCCCTCTAGAGGCATTGCAGGGGGCGGTTGGAGAGGGGAAGCTGGGAGCTGGGAGACCAGTTAGGAAGTGTTTGAATCATTTGGATAAGACCGTTAAAAAAATACACACACACACACACACAGTGTTAAATATATTTAACAGAAAGTTTGCCGTCTTCTAAGCATGCTATACGGTATCACTAAGTACATCCGCAGTGTGTGACTGTCACTTCCATCCTCCTCTAGAGAGTTCCTCGTCATCCCAGACAGAAACTGAGAGCCACTAAACACTGACTCCC